TTGCCTCTTGTATGGCCGCCATTTTTGAAGATAAAACATCCAGGTTTTGTGTCTCATGCCACAAACTCAGTTTGTGTCCATTGTTTTCTGGTTAAAGGACAGCAGAGTGTCCTGGCTGTGTCTTCTGGCTGTTGGCTTAATGACCATGGACACACACACACACGCACACACGCACACGGCCCACGCCGCCCAGGACAGGACAGGACAGGACAGGAGAGAATAACCAGCAACAGCCAAAACTCTGCTGGATCGATGCAGCCTGTTACAGGCGCAGCTTTCCAAAAGGCAGTGCTCAGTGAAATAAATATTTTTCCTGTGAGAAGAGGCTTATGTCGGCGATCTTAACAACCCCCCAATTCATTCCAGATCCGCTCCGAGTGGCTGGCGTCAACGCGCCCATCTTGATGTACTTAGGGTCCCTTAGTAACTGCAGTGTGCCTGTGCGGCTGGCTGGCTTCTCCCGCTCGGCCGCGTGCCGGGGCGCCAGGCAGGAGGGCGAGAAAGAGTTTATCTCTTGGAGAATGCTCTCCCCACTCCTCCTGAGCCCCTACAACTTCTTGGGGTCCCCAACTTTCTTTTCCTGGTGAACCGCCACTGTTGAATCAAAACTGGAGGCCTGAGAATGCAGCTTCTCTTCTTGGCGACGGCCCTGTCCTTTGAGTCCTGGAGACAGTCTGCAGGAAGAGCTTGGAGGACTTTGCAAACACAGCACATGAAGAAGCCTGGGTTATCTCAAAAACTGAGAGCGTCAGTAGCTGGCAAAAATTAATTGATTCATTCCTGCATTCATTCATTTACTTGTTCACTCCACAATTGTTTCCTGGGCAGCCCCCACCCCCCGGCCCCGCCAAGGGTAAGATTTGGTGCAAAGCTAGTATAAGCTAGTACAAAGCTGCTGGAGATACGGGATTCCTTCCTTCATCCATTCATTCGTTCAGCACACATTTACCCAAGGCCTCGCAGGCGCCGGGTGCTTTCTGGGGGCCGGGCCGCTGGCGGTAAACGCCTCCTAGACTTTGCCTTCTCGCTGGGGTGACAGACAAGGAGATGCAGCCAGAGGATATCAGACGGCATTTAAACGCCGAAGAGGGAGACCAGGCCGGGATGAGAGACTGGGAAATGGGGGGCGGGGGCCGTCCCGCTTTTAGATGAGGGGAAAGGACTTATGAGCAGGTGCTGGTGAAGCCGGAACCTGCAGGAGACCAGCGGAAACAACTGAGGAGGCACAGGCACGAAACAGCAGCGACTCACGGGCATGTCGTTCCCTTTTCAATTATGTTTCAGTCCTGATTGTGCCGATGAGAAAGTCTCTGTTTGTTAATATGTCTTTGACGCCCGGCTGAGACCCACCGAGCTCCCCCTTGACCACAGAGGCTCAGCTGGCGAGCGCGCCCACCTGCACTCGAGCACGGTTTCATGTCCAGTGTGACTATTTTGCGGCTCCTGCATGCGGTATCGTCAATGGCCAATGATGCTGGCTCTTCATTTACAGTCAGCATTAAGGCATCCTTTTTATATACACTGTTTGTTGAAAAGCGAGTTGATTTAAAGAAAAGTATTAAGCAACTTATAATACAGGTGGTACTTGAATACAGGGAACATTGTGAAGGTGGTAAATGAATGAAATTTGGGATACATTAAAATAAGACGTGACCCTTCTCCTCGTGTTGCTCCCAGCCTGGCTCCGGAGATGAAGGCACTCTGTGTGACCCAGCCTGTGATCCCCGCCTCCCTTTAAGGGGCTCTGCTGCGGGCAGCCTGAGGGCAGGGGCGGATTTGCACCTGCCGAGGAAGGACCCGCAGAGCACTCCAGGCCAGGGGGAGCAGCGTAAGCCAGGGCAGAGCGGGTGGGAAGATGAGGAAAATCAGCCCGGCCTCGTGTGCACCGGCACCGAGCAGAGTGGCTGCGGGAGGCAGGTCCGAGGGAGACGACCCCAACTTCCTATCGTCCAGGACTAATCCTAACACGAATTCTAAAACTTCCACTTACTGGGCACGGCTTTCTCACATTTTCTGATGTGATCCCCGCAGACCGGCGAGGTCGCAGTGTGGCTGCAGCCCTGTCCTACAGACGGGGAGCTGGCAGCCCAGACCTGTGCAAGGTCGCACAGCCAGGAAGTAGCAGTCAGCACTTTTTTTTTAATCTATTTTTTTATTGAGATATAACTCACATGCCATACAATTCACCCTTTTAAAGTGTACGGTTGAGTGGGTTTTATCATATTCACAAAGTTGTGCAACCACCGCCGCCATCTAATTCCAGGACATTTTCATCACCCCACGTAGAAACCCCGTACCCACGAGCGGTCACTCCCATTCTTGTCTGCTCCCAGCCCCGGCAATCACTAATATACTTTCTGTCTCTGTGGATTTGCCTGTTCTGGACATTTCATACAAATGGAATCCAGCATGTGGCCTTTTGTGTCTGGCTTCTTTCACTCAGCATAATGTTTTCAAGATTCGGCCACGCTGCTACATACATCAGTGCTCCGTTCCTTCCTGCGGCCAAATACCCTATTGCATGGATGTACCGCATTTTGCTTCACCATTCGTCAGCTGATGAGCATTTGGGTAGTTTTGACGTCCTAGCTGTGATGAATAATGCTGCTGTGAGCGTTGGGGCGCAGGTTTCGTGGGGACACGTGTTTTCACTTGACTTGGGTGTCTACCTAGGAGTGGAATTGCTCCGTCATATTGTAACTTTATGCTTAATCATTTGGAGAACTGCCAAACCATCTTCCGACGCGGCTGCACCATTTTCCATTCCCACCAGCGGCGTCCGAGGGGTCTAGTTTTTCCACGTCCTCGCCAACCCTTGTTCCTGTCTGTCTTTCTGATTCCGGCCCTCCCAGTGGGTGTGACGTGGTATCTCCTCGTGGATTTGACTTGCATTCCCCAGCAGCTGAGTCGCGTTTAACTCAAAATTTACGGTCCCTGCAGCACAAGCTCCCAGCCTCGTGTTCCCGGAACTGGGTTCAATAGGAACAGAGACGGGGAGGGCTAACCGAGGCTGGGTGAGTGGGTGGGGAAGCAGGCTCCGTGAGTGCTCCGAGTAGGGGAGAGAAGAGCTGTCAGAGGGGTTACGGGTTTGGAGCCTGGGAGACTCTGGGGTGTGATGGGGCTGGCGGGGGCCCGTGCCAGGGGCAGAGCTGGTGGCCTGGACCTTTCTCTCTCTCTGGGTCCAGGGTCAGTCCTTCCTGACAAGGACAGGGCCTTGGCCTCAGGCCCATCTGGACAGAGGGAGGCAGAGGCTTGGCAGCAGATCTCCTCCTCGGGGAAGCCTGCACCAGGCGCCAGAGGAGGGAGCCACCCCCAGGCCCGCGACGGACTCTGAGGGGAGCTCAGAGCCCTGAGGCCGGTGTTTGCCAGCTGTGCCCACCAAGATCGTGATGCGCCTGCCACCTACTTTCTCCCAAGTTGTGGCCTTCAGGGTCCTGACTCCCCGAGTGGCCTGTAACACCCAGGACACTGGTCGGGGCTCGTTCCCAGGCCCTTGGCGTGTGGGGCGGGCTCTGAGGCCACTCTGAGGCGCTGTTGTCAGTTGCCGGCTGCTCTCTGATCATTAACGTGTGCAGTGCTCAAGCTTCTTCCGTATTTACTATGTACCCTTATGACCTCCCTGCTCTGATGCTTTACACACGTTGTTTCCGTCCCCATTTCACAGAGGAGCAAACTGAGGTTCCAGGAGGAAGTGCGCCCCACAGCCAGTGAGTGGTACCGTCAGGATTTGAACGGGTCTCTAACCACCAGGCTACCTGGGAGGGTGGCTCACAGAGCAGCCTTCCATTCCAAGGCTTCCATTACAGAGGGTGTGGAGGTTTCCTACTGCTGTGTACCCGAGTGCCACAAAGCTAGCAGCTTAAGGCAGTCCTGGTGCGTGAGCCCCCAGTTCTGGAGGGCAGAGTTGGTGTGGCTGGGGTCTCTGCTGGGTACCACAAGGCTGTCGTCAGTCCCACGCGGCTGTAGGACTGGGGCCCCCACTTCCTTGCTAGCTGTCAGCTGGGGCCACTTTCAGCTCCCAGAGGCCTCCCGTATTCCTCGCCACGTGGCCCCCCATCTCCAGAGCCAGCAGGGGAGACCACCCTACCCCGGCTCCCTCTCATGCTTCAAATCTCTTCCACCTGGAAGAGCCGGTCCTGTTCTGGGCCCACCTGAGCGGGTCAGGCCGGCCCAGGTTCCAGGAGGAACCACAGAAGGCGACCTATTCACAGGACGCACACTCGTTACATGCACAGGCTGTACCCGAAACTCAAAGGAGAGGATGATACAAGGTCAGAGGTCACTGGGGGTCGTCTGAACGCTCTGCCTGCCGCGGAAGATCTTAGGGTCTAGTGGTAACGGTCACGGTAGCTACAGTAACAGCGATACATCCTTTCATTTGCTTAGAGCGTCATCGTTTTCAGACTGATCCTACATCTGTAATCCTGTTGGAGGCGCTGTAAGGTACATGCATTATCCCTATTTACCCACGAGAGAGGCAAGTGTCTAGTTAGCCCGGCCGGGGCTGGCGTCCAGATCTGACCCCCGGCCCAGGGCTGTTGGTGCCCACAGTGCCTCTGCTTCCCATTAGAGCCCCAGATCTCATCGCCGTCCTTGGAAGGGGCGATGCTTCTTTTCCAGCCAGCCCAGCCCTCTGGGAGGTTTCCCTGTCAGCTCGCCGCATCGGGTCATTTTTACAGGAATCACCACTGGCCTGGGCGAACCTCACCTCATTAAGCAGGAAAACAATAAGGCGTGAGGGGTGCAGAATCCAAACAGCACGTGTGCAGGAAGGGCCCAGCCTCGCGGGGGGAGGCGGCTTGGCTGAGGCTGGGATGGCTGGCCGACAGCGAGGGCCACGCTCTCCAGAGGACGCCGTGTCAGGCAGCAGTGCCCGCCGTCCCCCGTCAACGTGCGCCAGGCCTTCTACTTGGGACTTGACGTGGATGCCCCAAGCGTCAGCCCCTGGGTGCCCACATCTTCCAGACTTCTCATGGGGTACCCCTTGCTTTAATAATATTTAAACCAAGGCCCAGACCCCAGTGAGAAACTCAGCTCCCCCTGACTATCCCCAAGGATTGTCAAGGGTCTTAACGTTTCTTCCAGGTATCTTTGTGCTGATATGTTAACTTTTTAAAATTCTCCATTGTTCTCCTAACATTGCTGTCTTTTTTCCGTTTATCCCACGCTGAATGCTGCTCCTATCCTTTCACTTTTCCTAAAGTATTGCTGGCACAGGCTGCTGGGGAGTGGGCTCTAGAAATGTCTGTTGTGAGCCAGTGTGAAGGAATCTGGCTACTTTAAAGGGGGGGGGGTGGTCCCAGAAGGTCACTGAGTGGATCCTGAGGGGCAGCTGGAAATGGGCCGGAACCAAGATGGAGCCCAAGACTGGCTCACAGTGGACAAGCGGGTCAGGGCCCACTGCAGCCGGATGGACGGAATCCCGTGCATCCCCTCTGTCCTGCTCAGCCTGCTGTGGCTCCTGTGTGGCTCCTTGGTGAGGGGCCATGGGGCCGTGGGCCAGTTCCAGCAGACTGACAGCAGTAGGCAAGAACTAAATCCTCTAAAGGAAAACAGCGCACCATCAGGAGGAGAGAAAGTCCATGGAATTTGGGGTGATGGGAACCCAGGGGGAGCACACTTGGAAGTAAATTCTAGAATTCCTGCCCTAAAATTTCATTGCTTGGAGAATTCCATGTGTTGTCCCCTCCCCTCCCCCAAGCCTTCCCCTTCTCCAGCTGTCAATTATCAAGAAGCACATTTCTGTCTTTTCTTTTTTTTTTTTTTTGAGGAAGATTAGCCCTGACTTAACATCTGCCAATCCTCTTCTTTTTGCTGAGGAAGACTGGCCCTGAGCTAACATCCATGCCCATCTTCCTTTACTTTATATGTGGGACGCCTACCACAGCATGGTGTGCCAAGTGGTGCCATGTCCACACCCAGGATCTGAACCGGCGAACCCCAGGCCGCCGAAGTGGAATGTGCGCACTTAACCGCTGCACCCCTGGGCCAGCCCCTCTGTCTTTCCTTATAAGGAACAGTCTAGCACTTCCTCTCCCACCCACCAGTGCTTGGGGCCCACCTTGGTGCACCCAAAACCTCATTAAACTGCTGGGCTAAACAAGGCATTTTCTACCTGTGATGGGTTGAACTGTGTCCCCCTAAAAGGTAAATTGAAGTCCTACCCCGTTGTGCCTGTGAATGTGACCTTATTTGGAAAGAAGGTGTTTACAGATGCAATCAGGTTAAGGTGAGGTCATTAGGGTGGGCCCCAACCATGATGGTGCCCTTTATAACAAGAGGGAGACGCTTCGTGAAGACAGAGACGCACGGGGAGGACACCATAGGACGCCAGGGCAGACACTGGAGCGGTGCGGCCACAGACCCAGGAACGCCAAGGATGGCGGGCCGCCACCAGAACCTGGAGGAGACATGGAAGGACTCTTTCCGGGAGCTTTTAGAGGGGATGTGGCCCTGCCCACACCTTGATTTTGGACTTCTGGCCTCCAGAACTGTGAGACAATACATCGCTGTTGTTTCCAGCCCCCAGCTTATGGTGCTTTCTTACAGCAGCCGCGGAAAAGGACCACGCAACCTCAGGCCTCCGCGTCAGCAGCACAGAGCAGCAGGAGAAGCTGCAAACTGTGGTTGGGAGTCTCCCTTTAAAGAGGAGAAAATGGCGCATCCTCGCAGCTGTAAGGTGGGGTAACTGTAAGATCGTGTCCGTGGTTCCTATTTTACAGACGAGCAAACTGCAGCTGAGGATTCGTCCCAGTCATTTCCAGAAAGAGGCAAAGGCTGGGCTTCAACTCGGGCCTTTGACCCCAAGACTTACACTCGTCACCCACCCTTTGAAGCTGTGGACGTGTCTCTCACAGGTTATTGCAGAGTCCACAAATCCTGGTCCCCAGATGTCACTCTTCCTTGTGACCTGAGCTCATAACTTAGTGCCGCCCTCGTCCCCACGGGAACCACCCGTGGCAGCCACATCCTCTGCGAGGATGGAGCGAGCCCTCTCCCTCGTGACTTCCTCACAGCGCTGGGGACGCATTCCCGCTGCGGTCATCTCCCAGCGGAGCCAAGTCAGAACGTCTGGCAAAGAAGGAACGAACTGATAAACAGCGTAGCACACACTCTCCAGGGCCTGTCTGCAGCGTTTTGCAACACTTTCACAAAGTCCGGGATTACGACTCCGGCACGAGCTGTTTATTTCAGGCTGTTAACCCCGTACACGTCCTGCATGCTTGGGAATCCGCTGGCTTCGGTCCTGACGTCAGGAATGGCGCCCTCGCTTGGCCTCCGTGCGGGCGCCTGTCGTGGCCGGTAGAGCAGGGCTGCAATACCTGGGGGGACCAGCAGGGGGCTTCTCCCATCAGGAAATGGGTTTAAAGCAGACGATTCTTGAAATTCACGGCTTTGGGTTCTAGAAAACAAGTCTGTTCCTCTGGGAGGAAATCCACTCTCTTTACAATGTGGGTTGACCATCTGGCATAAAGGTGTGAAGAAAACCTGGCTTTTCCTGCCCCTCTGCCCCAGGCCGGCCCTGGAGCTGCGGCCGGGAGCCCGGTACCGTCTCTGTGTCTCCAGCCGGCACCCGGCGGAGAAGGAAGCCGCACATCACACTGTCGAAGGAGAAGCAGAACGGCGGGCCGGCTGGATCTGGCTCTTGTAAATTGTTTACTCGGGACGACCAGATGGCTCATCTCTCGCTGAACCCTTGACCATTTCCTGTGCTGTTAAAAGCCGGTGTGAGCAAACAGTCCCGTTCCACCGGCCCACGAGCCGAGCGAGGCGCAGGCCTGCTGGGGGAGCCGCAGGCATTCCAGGGGGCTGACTCAGCCGCTGGGCTGGCGATGCTCCTGGAGACCCGGCTCTAGGTAGTCCACTCGGGTTGGAGAGCAACCGTGGTGGGGTGGGCTCGAACTGCTAATACCCACGGGCTCCCCAGGGACGACCCTGCCCCTCGCTCACCTCTGGGGCCCTCCAGCGGGGTCCCCTTTCATCCCACCCCCTCACCTCTTGGCACTCAAGTGCTCAAAATGTGTGCGAATGCCAGCATCTCCCTCCTGCACGCTGCGTGAGTGTGGAAAAACTCCTTCCCCTCTCTGAGCCGTAGTACTTCAGCTGTAAACGGGGCTGGGTGGGGGGCTGACATCGCTTCCCGCCTGCCTTACGGGCTGGGGGAGGATGTGTGGAAATAGGACAGATTGTGTAAAGGCTTTGCAACTCCCCCCATCCCGCCTTTACTGTGACAAGACCCGGTTGCGATGATTTTTGAGGAGTGGGAAAGGGAAGCCATGGGGCCTCTTGCCTTCCTGGGCAGTGGATAGGGAGCTCTTGGCCATCCCTGTCTGGGTGCCACCCTTAGGCATTGCTGGGCAAGGCCTCCCCGGGGTGGGGGGTGGCTCCTTCAGGGCCTTGTGGGTGTGGTGCGGGGTGAGATTTTAATTCTGGGTGCCCAGCAGCCCCAGCCTGGGTCTTAGAAACCTGATGGACATTCAAAAGCTCACTCTGTTCTTCGGGGGGGGGGGGCGCAGAGGGCGAGGCTGCGGCCTGGAGACCCGTGAGGCCCAGCAAGGTGACGGGGGCGTGGCCCGGGGTGGGCTGGGAAGGAAGGGGAAGTTTCACGGTGTTTGAGGAGGAAGATGCCCTCAGGACTTTCCTCCTGGCGGGGAAGACAAAGTTCTCACCCAGGGAGGCAGACTTCAGTGGTCAACAGACGAGAAACTTCATCTCAGAGCGGGAGAGAGTGGTTTCCAAACTCTGAAACGTAGAAGGACAGTGTTGACAGATCTGGTCGCGTAAATGTTCGCAGCTTCTGTTATACACACACCCCCATCAAGAAAAGGTTGCAAGGTGAGCGGGGGGCTGGGAGAAAACCCAGAAAGGATCACCATCCGGGATTTGCAGACAGCTCCCAGGAACCACCAAGAAAAAGCTGGATAACTGGGCAAAGGAATCTGAGCTGGTGAATCCCACAAGAGGAAGGTTCTGGCAACAATGAACATGTGGACACGCGCCCCTCTGTCTCCTCGGGAATCAGGGAAGTGAGGTGAGAACATGGCCCACTCCCTGCTGAGTACTGGCCAGAATGAGGAGGGGGGCGTCCTGGGCTGGGAGGGTCGTGGCTGCAGCAAAGACAGGATGGGGCCAGCGGTGGGAGAGCGCCCACATCAGACTCAGGGTGGGACAGCTACACCGTTGTAATGGTGCCCCCTACCCCCCACCCCCTTCAGAGACCTGGCGGTTTGAGGCCTGTGGTCGAGAGTTTGGACTGGGAGCCGAGCCGCCTGGGTTTAAGTTGCTCTTTGCACCTTCCTGTCCCGAGGCCACATTGTGGGGAGGGTCAGCGGGGTGAGGGTGAGGACCGGCCGGGCTCTCTCGGCTCCTGGGTCTTGGCTGGGAGTCGGGGAGTGGGAGCTACACCCGGGGAGTGAGAGGTGGGCTAACCCGATCCACATAACGGAGGCTCTGGTGGGGAAGGAGGGAGAGGGAGCCTGTGGGCTGGAGGTGGGAGGGGTGGGAAAGGGCAGGGGGCCGAGTGATGGCTGTCACGGGCCCCTGAGCACCTCGGCCTTCCTGGGACTCTTGTTCCATAAAAAATACTAAGTAGTGTACAGTGTTCCCCCTTATCTACAGGGGAAACGTCCCAAGACCGCCAGTGGATGCCTGAAACCACAGATGGCACCGAACCCTGTGTAGACGGGGTTTTTTCCTGTATGTACAGACATATGATAAAGTTTAATTTATAAGTTAGGCGCGGTAAGAGATTAAGAACGATAACTAATATTAAAATAGAACAATCATAACAACACACTGTAATAAAAGTTACCATAGACCTTAGCAACCTCAGCACATGATTTTCTTCCTTTCCTTATTAACTTGAGAACTTTCACTTTTTCGCCTAAAGGAAGCGCTTTACGGCTTCTCTTTGGCGTATGCGAATTGCCAGCATCACTACTCTTGTGCTTTGGGGCCGTTATTAAATAAAATAAGGTGACTTGGACACAAGCACTGCAATGCCGGGACAGTCGATCTGACAAGCGAGACAGCTACTAAGAGACTACCAGGTGTCTACGTGCGGACACGCTGGACAAGGGACGAGTCATGTCCCGGTGGGATGGAGCCGGACAGCGCGAGATTCACCACGCGGCTCAGAACCGCGCGCAATTTAAAACTCACCAATTGTTCATTTCTGGAATTTTCCATTTAATATTTTTGGTCCACAGTTGACCCAGGGTAACTGAAAACCTTGGAGAGTGAAACCGAGGGCAAGGGGGGACTACTGTATGTTACAGCTGAACTGTTATAAAGATGGATGTATTATATAATAAAATACATGCTGTTAGAGGACATGTACAATATTATGTAATAAAATATTTTCTTTGACCTAAAAGTTCATTTTTTGTCTTCTGGTTTTGGAGGTGACCCAGGCGTCTCCACAGGACCCATGCCCTGTGCTGGGGGACAGGCGGCCCTGGGAGGGACCTAGCTCTTGTTCCGGAGGCGGCAGTGGGCAATGGGACTCTTTCCAACTCTTCGGGCTGCTTATAGAGAGATGCTGCTGCCCCCAAGTCCAGCTGCGTGGTCGCGGGACTGTCTGTGTCCCTGAGACGATGCAGAGTCTGGGCGGGTCGTCTTGTGTGGGGCGGGCGGCCGAGGTGGCCTTCCAAGTCCAGCCTCTCGGGTTTGAACCCGAATCCTGCCTGGGTCGAGCTGACCCAAACAGTGTGTGTTCATCAACGGTCAGGTTCTCTGGACTGAAAAGGCGGGGCGTCCTTGGGTCTCCCCTCGCTGTAGGCGGCTTGCACTGAAGGCAGAGCTCCGACGTGACAGCAGACGAACCCCGGGAGGAATCCGACCTCTTCTCCAAGCTCGTGTGCTCACTCTCAGGCCTCCAGGCTCTCGTCCATGTCCCGGCGCATGTGCACCTGTGCACGCGTGTGTGTGAAGGGTGCGGGTGGCAGAGGCCCCACGGGAGCTGCAGGCCGAGGGCCCCTTCTGAGAACGTCAGACTGCCGGGCCCCAGATTCCCACAGCCGGTTCACGGGGGGCGAAGAAGCCTGAACAGTGTCTGCAGCCCACCAAACCCAGTCTCAGCGCTGCTCCTGTCACCCGTGGAGAATCGGCCCTAACGCCCACTGCTCTGATCCATGGTCCCTCGAGGGCAGACTCCGCCTCCCAGGGCGTGTGGCAGCGTCTGCAGGCATTCTTGGTGGTCACAACTGGAGGGGCAGCGCTCCTGGCACCCAGTGGAGATGCTGCTAAAGATGCACGGCCCCCACGGCCAAGAGTTATCGGGCCCCAGCTGTCAGTGGTGCCGAGGTCGAGAGACCCCCGTACCCGACTCTGGAGTTAATTCTTCGGACAGCGCCCCGCATGTGGTGAGCGCTCTCTAAGTTGACTATCATCACCGTTATTGCTGGTCTCGGATTTCAGCATCCAACAGAGGCGCTTGGCTGGAACGGTGAGCAGGGGGCCTCACCCCATCCTCCCCTGAACTCAGGGTCAGGAGGGGTCTCTGCTCCGCCTCTCCGCTGTCCTGGCCCCCACTCCAGCGCTGACCCTTCTGCCCGCCCTGGTTTTATCCCTGGTCCGACAGCAGGCCAGGGTGGGGCGTTTGAGGGGGTTCAGCTGCCCCTTCTGTGCCTCCCAGAGGCTCAGCTTTCGTACCTCCACCCCTGTTATCTTTCCTCCGGGCTCCGTCTTCCCGTCCTGCCCCCTGGCACCTGCACACACTCCCACCCCCAGGGCGGCCTCAGGGGGCCCCTTCCTCGAAGAGTTGCTATCTCTCCCAGGCGACCCCTGGCTGACCCGGCAATGGGAGCGTGTTGGTGGTGTTGAGGGCGGGATGGGGCCTTATAAATTAAAACACCCTCTGGATATTTCACAGAAGTTCATGAATCATCTTTACCCCGTAAAACCCCAGTGGAGTTAGCTGGGAGTGTAGAACATATTTGTGGACCTTTAAAAATTTTTTTCTTTTTTTTCCAAGAGGAAAGTTTCTCCTCTGATCTCAGGTTCATCCTGAAAAGCAATTTTCTCTAGTCGGAGGATGCAGTCAGCTTCAAGGCTTAATTACTGTGCATCCCAGGACAGCTTAATTAATCTGTCTGTTTTTTTTCAAATTAACATATTTTTTTCTAATTATGAGGGAATACGTGTTCAGTGTAGAACATTTGTAAGGTATTGTTTCAGAATTAAATCTGAGACCATGTTGCATGTAGTTTACTTCTTGCTCTTTTTTTTGAGGAAGATTAGCCCTGAGCTAACATCTGCTGCCAATCCTCCTCTTTTTGCTGAGGAAGACTGGCCCTGAGCTAACATCCATGACCATCTTTCTCTGTTTTATATGTGGGACGCCTGCCACAGCATGGCTCAACAAGTGGTGCCATGTCCATACCCGGGATCCAAACCGGCGAACCCCAGGCCACCAAAGCAGAACATGCAAACTTAACCGCTGCCACCGGGCTGGCCCCACTCTTTTTTTTTTTTTGAGTATGCCCCCCTCTTTTTTTTGGTGAGGAAGATTGGCTCTGAGCTAACATCTGTTGCCAATTTTCCTCTTTTTCCTTTGTCTCTCCAAAGCCCCAGTACGTAGTTGTATATCCTAGTTGTAAGTTGTTCTGGTTCTTCTGTGTGGGATGCCCCCACAGCGTGGCTGGATGAGCAGTGTGTAGGTCCACACCCAGCATCCTAACCAGTGAACCCCAGGCTGGCAAAGCGGAATGTGTGAACTTAACCACTCGGCCACAGGGCCGGCCCCACATCTTGCTCTTTTTGGCTCGACATCTTATTTTAAACAATTGTCTTTTCCCATGTCTTTATTCCTCAAAAACACATTCCACATGGATTTCCTCCATAGGGCTGAGCCGCGGTTACTTACCCTTTCCTGTGTGCTTGGCCATTTGTGGCTGTGTCCACGGTCTCATCTGTGAAATGGGCACAGGTGCGCTGTGAAGTCCACTGCGGTGGCCGACCTGTCCGTGCGCGTGACCAGTCCTTAGTGAGCCTGTGGGCCTGAAGTGGAGCAGGACAGGAACACCCGCCAGGCCTGCCCTGGGCAGCAAGGCCCCCGGGCTGCGCACTGTGGGATAAACTGAGGAAAGGAAAGGGGGACGGTGACCTCTGGGGGACAGTTGGGGCTCCCTCAGGAGCTGCTTGTTCTCTTACAGCAGAGACCAGGGCCGTCCACTCATCTGGCCCTCCATCAAGCAGGTGGTCCCGGAGGGTGGCAGAGGGGGTGGCAGGACCCAGGACGGTGGGCTCCTATCTGCTCTACTTAAACCAAGGGTCCTTCGAACCCATCACTCTCTTCAATCAAAGATGCTATTACTCGAAACAAGCCAGCGGCTTCAGCGTGGGCTCCTGCTCTGTGGCCCCTGGCTCTGCGCCTGGGCCAGCCCTGTGCTCGCTTGACCAGGGAGGGTGACAGATGTCAGAGAGCAGAAGTCAGGACGGAAAGGAGACGAAGGCAGGAATAACTCTCTGGCCGAGCGAGTCCTGGGTCCTCCGTGCGCTCCTCACTCGGCCCAGAGCGTCCTGTGCTGGGGGCAGCCCTGAGCTCTAGCCCGGTCTTCCCATCTCACAGGCAGGAAGACAGAGGCCCAGAGGGGAGGGGACGTGTTCAAGGTCTCCCCGCTTCCTGGGCGCGCCTTCCCGGCCCCAGAGAACCTGGCTCAGGGGGGCTGAGCAGACGCCCTTCTTGCAGTCAGGAGAGGAGCATCAGAAAGAGCCGGGAGGGAGAGGGGCGCCCAGCAGGCCCAGTGGGCTTGAGGGGGAGTGGGGTGCCCAAGCTGGTGGCTTCTGTGCTCAGTGGGTCGGCTGCCGGCCTTCCCTTCTCTGGGCATCAGCAAATGTCTGGCCCTTGTTTGTGAGGACGCAAGGGGTGGGCGGTCAGGGATCGAGAGCAGAGGGCAAAACCCCAGCTCCAGCCGCTGTGGGCCGCACGGGGTGTCTGAGCCTCCCCATAAATGGTGGTCTGTGTCATCCCAGGGGACATGACCTTGGGCCAAAGGGGCAGAGGCCTCCCGCTCCCAGCCCCTGACGGAAGCTCGGTGTTCAATGGCCTGGCATGCAGTAGGCACTCACTCACTATTTGCTGAGACACAGCATTCTCGGACCAGCATGCAGGGGGCTTAGTGCCTGGGTGAAGGAATTCAGGGGCTGCAGCTACAAAACCCAGGGGCTCTGGAGGCCTGCCCTGCCTACTTCTCCTTCGATGCAGCCTAAACCCACTCCTCCCCCAGAGTGTGGTCCCGCCTCAGCCCTCAGAGATCCCCTGCGATCGCTGATGCTCCAGCCAGACCAGACTACTGGCAGGTGCTCTGACTGAGCCCATCTCTCTCACCTCTGTGCCTTTGCACATGCTGTTCCTAACACCTGGCACACTCTTCCATCCCATCCTCTCTCTGCCAAGCCACTTCCTCCTCCTTCTTTAGGCTTCCCCCAGGGGCTCTCCCAGTCCCTCCCCTGGGGTTGCCTTTGGGGGTCCTCGTCTGCTCCCCAGGCCTCGGCTCCCTCTCCATCACAGCACAGTCTCATCACCTCGTGTCCTCCTTGCCTGTGTCCCAGGCTGTCTCCCACTGGACTGGTTCACAGCTGTATGCCCAGTGCCTGCATTCAGTAGGCACTCAATACATGCATGTTGAGGGAACAAAGTGAGTGAAGGGACCCCAGACATGGTTCTGAAGAGATGCCCTTCCATCATTCATTTATTCAGCAATCACTCATTCTGCTGGTATTTATCAGGGGCCTCCTCCTTGCTGAGGGTCTGGGGTGCGGCTGTGAAGACAGGAAAGACCCCGCCCCGAGAGCTGAGACCCACAATTACTGACAATTTGGGGCAGTGACAGGTTCTCTGAAGGATTTGGAACAGCGTGAGGGGTGAGGCCGCTGCAGCCACGGGGCACAGGGGGAGTTTCCCAGGAGGGGCCTGGTCACTGAGGCCTGGAGGCTGGGAGGAGCAGTGTGGAAGGCCTGGGGGAAGGGTGTGCCAGGGAGCGGGCACTGCCAGTGCGAGGCCTGGAGCCTCCAGCTGGGGCGCAGGGGACCGTGTTGGGCCAGGAGAAGTTTCCAGCTCCTCCATCCTCCTCTGGGTGATCCGGGCGGGTCTCGTGACCACTCTGGGCTGGCCTGGCCGCCGTAGGTCAAATGAGCAAGTCGGGCTCAGACGGTGCAGACGGTCTGGTCCCCAGAGCCTCCTCGGGCCGCCGTCCCTCTTGTGTATAAACTCGTATTCCGTGCCCTGGCTATTTTGCCGTTTTCTCTCATGCTAACCCGAAGGGGCTATTTTGGAAACTCTGTAAGCAGACTCAGGCCTGGCTGGCACTGGAGCGGATGTAAAAGAACCCTAAGTGAGGGACTCGGCATAAGAGCCGCCCAGCCCGGGCGCCCACGCCGTTAAATTTAGAAGCCTCACCTCCCGCGAGGTGAAATTGCAGGTTCCCCGGCGGGCGGGCGGCGGGGCCGGTGCGGGCAGACGGACACGGTGCAGTGGCTCTGCTCCCTGCAGCTGCACCTTGGGGACAAGGCCCAGGACAGTCTGGGGAGCAGCTGGCTGCGTGAGGAGCCCCTGCAGCTGGTCTGCCCGCCTGCGCTCGCCAGCTGGCTCCAAGCGGCATCGGTCTGAGCCAGTGCTGCCCGGGGTGCCAGGCAGAGAGAGGCGGCGAGGGACACCGCGGAAGAGGCAGGCCGTCTGCCACTGAAGGTTTGGGCCCTGCACGACTCCTCTGCCTCCCTCCCCTGCCCAGGGGCCCAGCGAGGCGTCTGGCCTGTGTCTCATGCCCTGCAGGCTGCTGCCCGGAGCTGCCCGAGCGGCCCTGCCCAGGGACTTCCCAGACCTGCCCACGATCCAGCAGCTAAAGGGTTAACGCCAGCCCCGGCAGGGGCGTGGGTGGAGGGGGTGTAGGGGGAGAAATGGGGCCCTCTGTGGTGCCCAGCCTCTGTTCTGAGCTCAGTGCCCTTGCATGTTAATGATGAAACATTAGGCATTGCTGCCTGTGGTCAAGGTGACTGACACTTGTTGGGGCTTTTCGGGAGCTGCACCCCGAAGGCTCCTGAGGGTCAGGGGTCTCAGCCTGGCTCATGGAGCGGCTGAGCTGTCTGGGCGCTGGTGCCAGTCCCGAGGGGCCCACAGGGGCCTGGAGGGGACGGGCTTCGTTTTTCTCGGCCATCCCCCAGGGCCATGGGTCTAGCTTGGCAGGTCCCCTTCTCGAACCTGCTTCCATTCTGGGGTCCCCTCCCTCCCCGTCGTCCGGGGTCTGGCTCATGGGTTGGGGGGGGGGTGTGCCCTAGCCCAGCCCCTGGGGAAGCCAGAACAGCCAGCAGGAGTGTCCCTTGTGCCAGGGTCAAATCCCAGCTCTGGCATTTCCTACCTGTGTGACCTTGGCTGAGTCATTTCCCCTCCTCTCTGAGCCTCGGTTCCTTTATCTGTAAAATGGGGATAATAACAGTATTCGCTGAATATAGTGCTGGGAGAATTAAATGAGATCTGAAGCCCTTAGAGCAGGTAGTGGGCAGAGAGTTGGCACCCAGGGGTCAGAGGTTGTGCTGGCCACCCAGGGGTCAGAGGTCTCGCTGGCCACCCGGGGTCATCCATGGAGAGCTGCTGCTCTGTACCTGCTGTGTGAGGGCAGCAGAGCCGGCCCGCGCAGTTGCAGCGTCCGTGGCACCTTTCGCTCTGAACGGGGAGTTGCGTGGTGACACGGACTCCACGGTCTGCAAAGCTGGGAAGCTCGCTCTCTTCACAGAAGCCGCTGCCGCCAGCCCCACCTGGGAGCCGGCCCGCAGCAGAGGATCTGTCTGAGCCTCCTTATTGCCCCACGGCCTCGGCCCTGCTGGCCATGGGTGGGCAGCTCTGCCTGCCACCGCTGTTCTCCGCCTGTGAAGACGGGCTGGAATCTTCCAGGCACCCGGCCTGCCTGCAGGGCACTCTCTGTCCAGCGGGGCAGGCAGGTCACCATTCCCGGCCCGCAGCCAGAGGCAGCGGTGCCAGGGGAGGCCGCGTCTGGCTGGAGGAGAAGGAGGGCTCGGCCAGGAGGCGGGTCCTCCAGGGCGGCCAGACCTCGCAGAGACAGAGGCTCCCAAGCCGACCTCCCTGCCCTGGAGCCTCCTTCCTCATGTGAGGAGTGTGGTGGGCACCTCGGGGCGCTGTCATGCGCTGTGAACCGCTGTCGGGGCTGGCACTGAGCAGGGAGTCGGCGCGGCTGTTTCCAGCTGCTGAGCAGCTGTCCCGCTCTCCCCGGATCGGAGGGCCGAGGAGGCCGCAGGAGCTGCCCAGCAGGCTGGCAGGGGTGGGTGGGTGGAGGGAGGCGGTCAGCCGTCTGGGAAGGCGCCCGGAGCAGGTGCCGCCAAGGCAGCGGGGGGCCGTCAGTGTCTAACGCCAGCAGGAGGAGCCCTCACTGGGCACGCTCGCGGAGCCCCACTCGGTGCGTGTTCCCACCACAGTGGATCCCAAGCTACCGAAATTCCTGGAACCTTAACAGTTGACTCTCGCGACCTGGTCCAGGCCGGCAGCAGCCCGCACAGGTGGGGGCCGTGGGGACCCCAGACTGCGTGGTGAGAAGTGCTGGCAGCAGCAGTCACACTCGCATTCCAAACCTGGCTCTGCCGCCTCCCCGCTGGGCTCTTGGACTCGTCGTGTCACCTCGCTGAGCCTCAGTTTCCTCAGCTGTGGAGTTAGGTTGCAATGGCCCCCATGCCTAAGAGGGCCGTGCGGCTTCACTGAGCTGGCTGACACTGAGCGCCGAGCGTGGGGCTGGCTCAGTGACGAGCACTGGGTACATGGGGGCTCCGCCACCAGGCTGCCTCAACGTCCCCGTCCACACACAGGGCGCAGCTCATGGGTTTATAGCGTGTGACAGTCCCTGGCCCTGGTGGGCACACAGCAAATGCTCGCCAGCAGCCCGTCAGGGCTGGTGGTCGCTCCCTGGCTCGTCCACTCAGCAGCTCCCCCGGGGCTGGGGTCTGGCCGGCCAGCAGCCCAAACAGCCGCCTCTTCCCGTCTCTTCCGCGTCCTGTGCTCTCAGCACATCGTCCCGTGGTCCTTCCCTGAATTTCCATTCCACGGACGTGGTCACTGAGGCCCCGAGCCGCTGAGAGGCACAGGCACCGCCGTGGTCAGAGCCAGGCCAGCCTTTGTGTTTCCCTCACCCGCCTGCGTGCAGCACATGTGGGGCAGCGGGGCGGGGGCTGCACCCATCTGCGGGGGCGGGGGGAGCAGAGTGAGGCTCTGGAGCCTAGGGCCGGGGCTGACTGCGGACCAAATGCGGGACTGGACTCCGGAGGGACGAGGCTTGAAAGAGAATGTCGCTCCAGGCAGAGGCCCAGTGTGAGCAAAGGCGTGGGGCCTGGGTTCAGCGGCTGGGTGAGGGGACGTGGAAGGCAGGGGCCTCGCCAAGCGGGATGACAGCGACGGAGTTGGGGGGGGTGGAGATTCTTTACGGGTTGGGCCTGGGCAGTGGGGTCCCTGGCATCCTTGGACCGACTCCACCCTGGCTAGGAGCAAGGTAGGAAACTGTATCAGCAGAGATTCAGGTTAGATATGGGGCGAACTTTCCGATCGTCCATGATGGAAGACGCTGGGTGACATTCCCAGGGGATGGGGTGGCGTTATTCCAATCTAGAGGTGGTTTGGAAAAAGGAAAAGACAGCCAGGTTCTGGGCTGGCCTCTTCGCAGCCCAGGTCGGAGGCGGGCCATGGATCAGGGGCTTCTGGAAACCCTTAATCGGCAGCCCGGCCTCATGCGAATTGGGCTTTGTCACTCCCTGCTCAAAACCCTCCATGGCTCCCAGTTGCCCTTGCTGAACTGCAAGGCCAAACTCCTCCCTGGAGCCACCAAGGCGCCCGTGACCTGTGCTGCGCTGACCTCTCCAACCTCACCCGGAGCCATGCCCCAGTCCACTGAATTTCCTTCTTTTTCTGGATTACACCATGTCCTCTGCACCTCCAGGCCTTTGCCCATACTGTTCCCTCTGCCTTAGCTACCCTTCCCTTCCCTTCCCTTCCCTTCCCTTCCCTTCCCGTCTCCCCTCCTCAGCCTTGCCTTCTCAGCTCCTGGTCACCTCCTCCGTGGCTGGGTCCGGCTCTCCCTGGGCTCCCCCATCACTTCCCCATCGACTCCTTACTGCAACTGCCTAGGGGCTGGACCAGGAGCCCTGGAGGGCAGGGACTCTGCCCGCCTTGCTCAGTGCGCATCCCCAGCACAGTGTCTGGCACACAGCAGGTGCTCAGTGAGGTGGGGGGGGGGTCACTGGCAGAGAGGAGCAGCCCAGGGGGAGGTGAGAAGACCTGGGTTCAGGAGGCGCTGTTTCCAGCCGCACGAGCACTCAGCATCGCTCAGGCATTAAGGACCCGAGCGCAGAGTACCGAGACCTGGGTTCCAATCTCGCTCCTGCACTTGCCCCAGGCAGGGTCCCTAACCTCCTTGAGCCTCAGTTTCCTCATCTGTGAGCTGGGACAGCACTGGCCAGCCCCTCTCTGGGGCTGCTGTGAGGACCTCGGGCCCGTGGTGGCGGGTGGGCGGCCGGGGTCGGCACCCGCCCGGCGACATGCGAGGCTGACTGTCTGTCCTGTCCCTGTAGGTCACGGCCATGTCGGTGAGGGTGCGGTTCCTGTCCTCGGGGGACGCAGGGGCCGTGGGGGTCGTGGGCCGGAGCGCCTCGTTCGCAGGCTTCAGCAGCGCACAGAGCCGCAGGATCGCGTAAGTTCTGCCCGGGCCGCGGGGGCGGGGCTGGTTCCAGGGCCGGGCGGGGACGCAGGGACATCCTCCTCCCACTGCCAGGCTCCCTGAGCTCCCTCTCCTGCCAGGCCTGTAGCCCAGGACACGGGGTGCGTGTGTGTGTGCGTGTGCGTGTGCATGTGCGTGTGTGCGTGTGTGATGTGTGAGAGAGACTCAGTGTCAGGAGAAACCTGTGATTTCCTCGAGACCTGAACAGGTGTCATCTCGCACGCTCCTGCAGTCGGTCCCAGGAGTCGATCTGTCTGAGCTTATCAGACCCACTTGGTAGACCAGAAAAGCGAGGCTCAGAGAGGCGGAGCCGCTCACGCAAGGCCACACAGCAAGACTGGTTCAGAGTGGGAGCTTAGTCTCTGAGGGGTGGGGTTGGGATGGAATGTTCTTCCTGTTGGACAGAATGCTGTGACCTGGGGCAGGTGACTTCACCTCTCTGGGTCTCGGTTTCCTCACCTGTGAATGAGGATCACGAACGGCCTTCCCTCTCGGGGTTGTCATGAGGGTGTGACGAGGTGACACGTGACAAGCACTGGCACACGCCGGCGCACAGCAGGTCCTGTGGGAAGTTTCCAGAGGGGGAGGAGCCGCGTCCGTGGAGCCGGGCTGGGCCGGGGCTGGGCCTCCGGACCCGAGCTCACGACCACCCACCGTGTGTCCTCCAGCCGCAGCGCGTCCCCGGCAGGCAGGTTCAGGCCCGCTCAGCCCAGGCCCGCCTGGCACCCTGGCTCCAGCGCTTCATGTCGGGCACTGCGCAAGCCCCTGGGGCACCACCTGCCAGCTGTCAGGCCTGGGGAGTCGCAGCCCCTCGGGCACCCTGAGGGCCCGAACACCCACCTGTCCAAGGAGAGCAGGGCGCAGAACCTGGTGGTCAGTGAGTCAGTCAACAACCAAATCTCATCATGGCACTCCCTGTCTGAAACCTCCAGAGGTGCCCATCTCACTTAGAATACGATCCAGGCCCCTCGTGTGGCCTTACAGCCCCTGTGAGCTGGCCCCGCTGGGCCTCATGTTTAACCCTGTGCTTTAGCCACGTTGCCCTTTCTCCCCTCTGGGCCTTTGCACAGACCGTGCCCTCCACCTGGAGCTCTCCCACTCCTCTTCCCCTGGCCAGCTCCTGCTTAATCTTCTCTGGGACTTAGCCTCAAGGCCATGTCTGGGGAGGACCCCTGGAGCCCCAGACCAGGCCTGGTCCCTCCTATAGCCCTTTCCGGGGGTTCAACAGCTGACAGTAGCCCCCCACCTTGATGCCTGGCCCTGCAGTCAGGCCTCTTCACTCTCCCACCTGGTCTCTGGGCTGCTCAGCTCCCAGCCTCACCTGGGAGGAGGGGCACCTCAGGAGTGAAATCCCGGAGTGTCCCAGATGACCTGAGGAGTCCCTAAGTCATTCCACAGAGACTTACGAGCACCCAGGCTCTGGGCACAGACCTGGGCCCCCCCTCCTGTCGGGGCAGAAATGAGCTGACAATAATGGAGATGGATTTGGCTGGTGGCAAGTGCTGTGAGGAGTCAGAACCGGGTGCGAGAGGGCAGCTCGATGAGGCAGGGAGCCTTCTAAGTGAAGGCCAGAGAGAAGAAAAGGAGCCGATCGCGTGCAGACGGGGCACTGGGGAAGCGTTCCAGTGGAGTGGACAGCAAGTGCAAAGGTCCTGAGGTGGGAATGAACTCTGAGGGACAGAAGTGGCATGCGGCTGGCTTGAGGGGCAGTAGAGAGAGAGGGAGGAGGGCCCTGCAGGGCCTCATGGGCCCCAGTGAGGACATTCACTGTGTGAGAGGAGCCACCGAAGGGCTGAGGCACAGGAAACTGAAGCCCCGAACAGGAAGAAATTTGGCCAAAGCCCCAGAGGGAGTTAGTGCCCAGTGCCCCTGCCTCCACGCCTCCGGGAGGAGAATGTGTGACGCCACCGTGAGGAGGGCACACGGCGGGCCATAAAAGCTGCTGGGAGGGGCTGGTGACAGACCGGCCAGCCAATGATGCCGTTTCACAGCGGCCTCTTCCTGGGCTCCGTCGGGGTCTCCCACCCCGCGGGTCTGTAATCAGGGCTGCTAAGGACAGTTGTGCAGATGGCCTGGCTGAGGGGGGCATCCAGCCCATGCGACCCTCCCGAACTGGGCGCCCCGGCACAGAGCTGGTCCCCCTGGGGCACTTGTTCCCTGCGCTCTGGCAGCAGGGCAGGGGTCCACAGACCCCACAGCCAAGGCCAGCTGCACGGGCGTGCGACCCCTGCGCTCACGTGGGGCCTGGGCTTGGATTTAACGCTCCACTGTCACCATCTAGAAATTCGCGCAAGTTTGAACAAAGAGTCCTGCGTTTTCCTTTGGGCTGAGCCTTAAGAGTTCTATAGCCGGTCCTGCCTGCATATCCCCTCCCGTCAGGCCTCTGGGGGCCTCTGGACTTCCTGCGTCCGTGAGAAATGTCCCCTCAGGCCCCACGGGGAGTTCTGCCCCGAATATCCCAAGGTGGGCCGCCTCCTGGATTCCTGGGGTCAGCTCTCGACGGAAGGAGAACAGAGGGGATCCGACCCCATGACACCAGGGCTCATGGGTCATCAGCAAGGCCAGGAGTCAGGCCCCGCCTCGTCTGTCCTCGTCTGAGAAAGAGGGCCCTGATGGCTGTAAATGTCCTGGTCACTCCTGGGGGCTCCTCCTCCTGGGGGCCCCCTCGGGGAATTCTGGAGGGTGCCTGGCCTGGGTGGGTTCTGAGGTCCCTGAGTGGCCACCATCTGGCCTCCACAGTCCCCTTGTCGGTGGGTGAGGGTGAAGCTGCCCATGAGGACGGGGAAGAAGCACGTCTATTTTTAACTTCCTGTCTCTGTCCATCTCCCTGGGGTCTGGACCCCTGGCTCTGGGGCGGGATGGCCTGGATTGGGTTTCAGGCCCCACCTTCTGGCCTTATTTGCCAGGTAATTCAAGCAGGCTGAAACGCAGCCACACAGCCAAGGCACTCAGCGGCTGGGGCGGGTCAGGCACAATAACCTTAGATGGAGAGCAGGACAGCAGGGCTCCACTAAGCAGGTTGATGCCCGCTTTGTCCCTGGTCCCCGCCCCGTCCTGGTACCTGAAACCCCTTTGACTCTGGACAGAGCTGTTTATTCCACAAAGAATTCACTTGCGAAAGTAATCTGGTAGGGAAATTTTACACTAAGGTGTGAATGATTGCTACAATATGGCCATATATACTCAATATATAATGATATTTTATGATATAAGGTCATATATAATAAGATGCGCGGGGGAGGCGAAGAAGAGGCCCACCCTGATGCTTCCCATGCCACCCTGCTGACACGCGCGGCTGCCCTTAACCCCTTCCTGCCTCTCCTCAGCCAGGTCTTGCCTCCCCCAGGCTGTCAGGCAGGTGCCCTCCTGAACCAGGGGCCGCGTGCCACCTTGGGCTTCCTCCGTTGGGGTGGCTGGGAAGTGTGGGTGGGAAAACCAAGCAGCAGCCCTCGATTTTCCAGGAGAGGAGGCTGGAGACAGAGCACAGCGTGCGTGTGGAGCAGTGAGGGGCACAGACTCGGCCCAGAAGCCGATCACCGAGCCTCAGTTTCCCTGACTGCGGAAAGGGCCAGAGCTCAGAGACGGGCGTAAGGAGGAGCGGGCTAGCGCAGAGTAGGGCTTGAACCTTTCCAGGGCCACGCGCCTGACTGTCGTCCTCCGGCCCACCCAGGGCCACCAGACGTGGGGGAGCAGGCAGCTGACAGTGGCGTCGGCTGGAGTGCTGGCCTGAAGCTGTCCAGTCGGTCCTGGAGTTGTCCCACACCCACCTCCAGTCCCCACTGGAGACAAAGAGTTTCCCAACGACCCCGCCCGCGGGCCTCCCGTGAGGGTGGCTGCAGCAGGTCGCGTGTGCTCATCTGGAAGCTGGCGGGCAGGAGCTACTGAATATTTACAGGGTCCTCCCAGAGCCGGGGGAGCGCCCGCCCCCGGAGGCTGCTCCCTGCACCCCGTGCAACACCGCCCGCGCGCAGCCTGATTTCAGCATCTGGAGGCGGATGCCTCGCCTCCTTGGCCGGGTGGGCTTTGGGGCGCCACCACCCGCCCTGTCCTGTCGAGGCTTAGACGGGAGCCGGGCTTCCAGGCACAGCCGCAGGGGCGCGGAGCCCTGGAAGCCGGCAGGTGAGCGCGGCTGCTGCAGCCCCGGCTCAGCTGCCTGTCCACCCCGCGCGCCCGCAAGGACCCCGGCCGGCCTGGGACCCCCCTCTCCCCAAGCTGCGGCCCTGCTCGTCTCTGCCGGGCCCGCCTGGAGATGGCAACTCTGTGGAGGGCGTGTTCCAAGAGGTGGGTGATGTGGTCTCGGGGAGGGTGAGGGAGGAGGGAGCACAGCCCCTCTTGGGCTCTGGAAAGTGTCACTTGACATATAAGACGTGGCTAACAGCCCCAGCACTAATGAGGCCCCTGGCTTTGTGCCCAGTACTCCGTGCACAGCACCTTCACTTACTCATCCCCGGGCTGGAGGAGCCTTCTCCATCATCCTGTTTAAACTCGTTATTCCAACTCTATCGCTTTCCTCGGCACTAGGCACTATCTGATATATGGGTTTTTTTTTTATTATCTTATTTAACTCCTACATATATATCTCCCGTTCCCTTTGCTGGGCATGGCTCGAAGCCCTTACCACTTATTAACTTGTGTAACTCCCAAAGAACCCTTTCTCTGGCCCTCATTTTAAAGATGAGAAAACTGAGGCACAGAGAGGTTCGATAACCTACCCAAAGTCACACAGCTTGTAACTGGAGGAGCCAGAGAGAGACCCGGTGTCGGGTCTGGATCCTATGCTTGTTACGCTTCCCACGGTGGCCCCAGCTGGCACGGGAGCTCAGGGGGCAGGGCTCTTGTCTGTCTTGGTTGCTGTTCCCCCGCAGCCCCTGGAATGGCATCTGGCCCGCAGTAGCTGCTCAGTAAATACTTGCTGAGCAACTGACTATCTCACGACAGCTTCGTGGGGCTGACTAGGCCCCTTCTGCAGATGAGGAAACTGAGACTCCCCAGGTTAAGTACCTGTCACCTCTGGGGCTGGGGTTTGAGCGTGGGTGACTGGCCAGGAGTGTGTGTCCCACCAAACAGTGTGGGCTCCCAGCTTGGCGAGGTGCCTGAGGGTCCAAGGCAGGGTTCCAGGTCTTTCCCGGCTGCAGCATCCTCTGAACCCCGTTCTCAGCGGGCCTGGAATCCGTGTTCCTGGCATACTGTTGTGACACAGCCGAGCAGCCGTGTGAGGAACCCGGGGCTTGGGGCTCGGTCCCCATCAGCAGGGGCGGCCGGCACAGCTCCTCTCTACTGAGTGAACAGCAGGTGTCCGCGTCGGCGCGTGGAATGCGCAGCATCTGGCTGGGCTGGAAACACAGCCTGGCCACCCGAGGAGCCTCTCGGGGACCAGGGCGTGGTGGCGGCCCCGTGGCCCTTCTCCCAGGCCTGGCGAAGGAGCTGGAGCTGTGTCCTGCTTGCCCCCTCCTGGCTCTCCAGCCGGCGGTCCTCGAGGGTGGGACTCTGGCCCCTGGGCCCTCATCTCGGCGCCTGGCTCGGAGGAAGCCTGGGCCGGGTGTTCGAAGGAATGGAGGAGTCCTGTGCCCTCGATTTTAGGCCTCGAAGGGCAGCAGACTGTGATGGGCTCCCGAGGAGACCAGGAGCTGGGCTGCCAGCAGGAGGACGTCTCGGAGTGAAGTGGAAACGGTGAATCCCAGACAGTGGTCCTCAAAGTGTGATCCGAGGAGCGACAACATTGGCAGCACCTGGGAACACGTTAGAACCCTGTTTGGGGGATCAGTAATCTGAGTCTGACTAGTCCTCCAGGCGGTTCTGAGGACCCCGAGGGGATCCTGCCCCTGCGCCCCGCTGGGCAGTTACAATCCCAGGCTGAGGTCTGCAGACACTTGGGTTTGGATCCCTGCTCCGCCGCCTACGTGATCTGGGGCAAGTCACTTGTCTGAGCCTCAGTTTCCCTCCCTTGCCATGGGGTTAATAATACCTGCCTCCCAGGATGGTTGTGGAAGTTGATATTTATACAGAGCCCCAAGCAAGCGCCGGGCAACAGCAGACGCTCAGCGCGCACCTTCTCCTCGGGTTATCAGTGAGCTCCCCGGGCCCGCGGGCTGCGTGGTGGTGGCGGGTCTGGTGGCCCGATAGACATGGCCCGAGTTTAGTTTCTCTGCGGAGATGTTAGTTGTCACTGTCAAGGTCTTTGCCGCTGCATTTTCCCTGGGAGCTGACCCTCTCCTCCCCCCGCCCATCCTGGGGTCCCAAGATGGTCCGGCCCCTCCAGCATCTTCCCGCCTCTGCTTCAGTCAAGTTTGTGTCCGCTCCTCGTGTCCGCGCACGCCCGTCACACACAGACTCTTCTAGCGCCTCCTCTCCCCCCTTGCTCACTCTGTGCCCTGACTTGGAACACACTTCTTGGGGCGCACCTTTGGTTCTGCTCTTCCTTCCAGATCCAGCTGAGCACCGTGGGTCCCGGGATCTGTCTGCTCTCCGGGCCCCCTGGTGCGCTCTCTTTCCCTGTTCAGTTCAGCTGGGCGTTTGCTGAGCACCTACGGCTTCCCAGGCTGCGGGTGCAGGGAGGATGCAGACAGGCTGTGATTAGCATTATGAGAGCAAACATTTATGAAGCACCTAGAAAGTGCCCCCGTTGTCCAAACGTTTGACCTGGCATCTGAGAGAATTCCTAGCACCCCCCTCTGATGGAGGTTCCATGGTTTTCCCATTTGACAGATGAGAAAACTGAGGCTCGGTGGCGTGTTAGTGTAGAGGGGAAGTCCCTTTGACGAGGAACCCCCAAATACAGGGGCTTAAATGAGACGCTTATTCCTCCCTCTCTGCTGACAGCATGGAGCCGTGGGTGGCCTGCTCGCCAGGCTGTTCAGGGTCCTTCTTCCCCTCTTGATGCTCAGCCATTGCCGTGGGGCCCTGGTGCACGCGGTGGAAGCTGTGCACCAGGGGAGGACGGGGAGAGAACGGCTAGCAGCTCCCCTCTAAGAAACTGACCCAGCGGCGGGCTTTACGTGTCACTCCCTTGTCTCTTTTGTGAGAAGGCAGCCATGAGGCCATGGGGTCGGGGGGCAGTGTCTTGAGAGGATGAGATGGACTTAAACACGCGTGGCGGTGAGCGCAGGCTGCGCCAGCCAGCCCCGGTCCCGAGCTGAGGGGACAAGGTGCAGCATCACAAGACTCTAGAGGGGGCTTCGATGCCAACGAAACCAATTCCCTAGTGTAACGAGAGCACCCTGGCCCTGCACAACTGCGATCAATGCTGGAAGGCTGAGAGACACAGCTGTCCCAGCCGGGAGACATTAGTTCCTAGGATCATCCAGTCCACACTCTCAACTCCAATAGGCGTAAGCCAAAAAGAGAACCAAGTGGTATGTATCCGAAAGTCCATGGACACCTCTAGCTTCAGGCATAGCTGGATCCAGGAACTCGTCATGTGGATTTGGTTGGTCTCCACCTGCTTCTCTCCGTGTTGGCTCCATTCTCCCTACATGGTGGCAAAGGAAGCGGCCGGAAGCCCCGGGTGTGTGTTCCCTGAGATGAGACATGCTGGTGGGAAGAACCTCCCCCTCCAGTGAATTTGGAACCGAATTCCTGGCAGGGTTCCTGGCTGGACTTGTGTCCCGTGCCTCTCCGTGGGCCGGGGTACAATATGTTGACCATCCCAGGACTGGGACATGGGTGTGCCTCAGAATGCACATGTATGCGTGTGCGTGTGCGTGTGCGTGTGGTGATTTTTTAGGCCATCTCTCTCCAAACCACATGTATAAAGAGCAGCGTTGGAGAGGTGCCCCAGAGGAAAGTGAGGTGCTATTAACAGAGGGAGGGGGATGGCAGCTGGGCAGGCAAAGCCATTGGGTGCCCACCCAACGGGTACACCACAGGACTACGATTTGGCCTCCTACGTTGCTTTGCCTGCACAGACAGAGCATGCTGAACAGAGGACATTGGCATTTGGGCTGCTCGATTGTATTTCTCACTGTAAGTTAATTTCTCATATCTGGTTATTATTATTATTATTATTTTAATCCTCAAATCCAAGCCCTCATTTTACAGATGAGGAAACCAAGGCCCAAGGAGTTTAGGCAACTTTCTCAAGACCATGAAGCTTGGTGGCGATGGGGTGGGCCTGAGCCAGGTCTCCTGACTGCCTGGGGCTCAGGCCTCTGTTCCCAAAGTGCCTGCCCCTGGATGGGCTTTGTCCAGCCCGCTGCTCTGACCCCTCCATTCCTTCTCACAGAAAGTCCATCCACGGGAACTCAGTGAGATCTCGGATGCCTGCGAAATCCTCCAAGATGTACGGCACACTGCGGAAGGGGTCTGTGGGCCCCGACCCCAAGCCGCAGCAGGTGAAGAAGATCTTCGAAGCACTGAAGAGAGGCCTCAAGTAAGGACGAGTGCTGTTGCCTCTAAAAAGTGTGTTTTTGGGCTCACCTGCTTGCTCCTCTCTGCTTCCTCCTGGGGAGCGTGGTTGGGTCTTATCTGTAAGAGGCCACAGAGGGAGCTTCCAGTTATTCATTCAGTCAACAAGCATGTCCTGAGTGCAGCCACGTGCTTGGCCCCGTCCTTGGGTGCTGGGGACACAGCAAATACGGCAGGAGGACCTGGTCTCACGGAGCTTAGAGTGCAGAGGAGGAAAGGCAATAAAGAAGGAACATGATCAATAACGTAACTTCCACCAGCCCTGAGTGCAGTCAAGAAAGGTGATGGAGAGACAGCGCGTGGAAGGCCTGTCAGACAGGGTGGCCCAAGGAGACTCACTGAGGAGGTCCCGATGGTTCCTGAGACCTCAACAGTCTGAGAAGAAGCGTCATGCTGGCCTCTGGGGGACAAGCATCCTAGGCAGAGGGAACAGCAGGTGCAAAGGCCTTGAGGCAGGCGTGTGCACAGCAGCAGGAGGTCGGGGGGGCTGGATTTGAGTGAAGGGCAGACTGACTGAGCTGGACAGAGGCTGGAAGAGAAAGATTCAGTCACTCCCTCCATGTGTCTTAATTGAGGGCTTATGGAGTGCCAGGCGCGCAGAAACACAAAAATCCCTGACCCCTGGAGCTGGCATCCTAGTGGGGACAGACAGGGCCACTTTGGGATACATTCGAAGGTGGAGGGGACAGGATTGCCGGCGGGATGGGATGTGGGGGCGGGGGACGGGGTAGAGAGGCTGTCCACGAGGAGAGGACAGGCGGTAGCTGGTACAGATCCGGGGACCGTGGAAGAGGTCTGGGCCCAGAGAGAAACGTGGTGAGCACAGCGGGGCCCGGGAGCAAGCTCGAGGCCTGGGCTGCGTGGCTGCTCACAGCTCTGTGCCTTCAAGTGCAGCATCCTTGCCTGACGCCGCCCCGCCTCCCTGGCCGTGCCGCCTGCGGCTCTCCTGCCAGAAGCCCCTGCACATTTCTCCTCCGTCCTGCCTCCTCCTCCCCGGCGGCGGTGCAGGCCACCTCCCCCGCCCCTGGTCTGCGGCAGCAGCCTCCTTGCTGCTCTCACAGCCCCCACCCCGCCCCTCCTCCCCCTGCCCCTCCCTCCTCTGCTCTAATCTCTTCCATGGCTCCCTACTGCCCTTGGGGGGCATTCAGGGTCCTTTCTGACCTTCGACCTTTCTAGACTTTTCTTTCATCATTTACTGCTGTCCCCACCGGGCCTTAGCCTATCCGCAAATGTGCCTTGGCTCTTCCCGCATGAGTCTGTGCCTTGGTCTTGCGAAACAGCGCCCGGGCAGTGGAGAGTCGCGTCACGGGGGCTGCGGCTCCCCGGGTCTCTCATCCAACGCGCGTTTATTGAGGTGAATGCTGTTCCTTGCTCCTGGGGCACCCTGCCCTCCACCTCGTCACCCTCTCTGATTGACAACAGCAGCAGCAGCCACGACTTGTTCGAGGCGTTATATTCATCCTGTCCTTGAACCTCTAAAGAGCCCTGTGAGAAATCTCAGCCTCCTTTGCCAGGCGAGGAAACTGAGTCCCAACAATAGAAAACGACTTGCCCAGGATCACACGGCCAGGAAGTGGGGCGGGGGTTCCTGGGCAGATGCTGGCCTGACCCGCTGCTCCCCCTGGGCTCGGGGCCAATGTCACCTCCCCCACTGGCAGGGCCTGGCTCCCCACCCAGGGGGCCTCCCTCGCGCTCCTCCCACGATGGGCATGACATGCCTGGCCCAGTGCTGGTGCAGAGTAGGCGCTGGGGTGTGTGCCTGGAGGGCAGAGGCCACCCCGAAGGCGACTGTCTCCCGGGACAGCTCCTGGTGACCCCGTATGTTTGAGACTTATCTGGGGTCAATGGCATCCCATTCTTCCCGGGGAGCTCAACTCCTGAGCAAGCGGTGGCCTGGCAGAAGGTGGTATAGGTGGACCCAGAGAGGGTGAGTCACCTTCCTGGGGTGACCCAGCAAATTTATGATGGAGCAAGATAGGGCCCCCACTCCGGCCCCCAAGTCCAGATCTTGGATTTCCTGTCCGAATCTCTCTGGCTAGAAAACACAACTTGAAATGCCCCCTCTCGGCCCACCACTCTGTGCTTTCTAGAATGGGTTTTCCAGGCCCTCTCGGGCCCTGGCCCCGGGCATCTGTGAGGGAGGCGTGCTCGCGCTGACCTCCCCATGGGCTGGGGTGGAGGTGTTGGCCCCTGGAGCCCGCTGCCTGGTTTCAGACCTGGTTCGGCCTCTTCCTGCCGTGTGACCCTTTGCTGGGTGACTGGGTGTCGTCAAGGGTCAGTCAGCCTGTCTCTAAAATGGGTGTCACAGCAGTAGCGCCTGTATGTGGGACTGTTTGGGGAATTACCTGAGAGAGTCCCCACCGTGCAGAGCGCCGGGCTGGCAGCCCTTGGCATGTGGGACGTGGAGGCCGAGCGGCTGGGCCAGGCTTGGGTGGCAGTGATGGCTCTGCCCTCTGACCTCGGAGCCCACTAGGACCACCGCTGGTGCCGCCCCACTGGGGAGCACTGGTCGTCTGCCTGTTTCTTTTCCTCTTCTTGCTCCTTTTCAAACTCTGCCCTCGTCCCCTCACAGGGAGCATCTGTGCGTCCAGCAGGCCGAGCTGGGGTACCTGTCAGGACGCCACAAGGACGCCCGCAGGAATTCCAGGCTGGTGAGACCTCCTGCCCTTCCCACCCCGTAGCCGGCGGGGCTCAGGGTGGACCCCCCTCACCCCCTTGCCTGTATCTGGGTGTGAATCCCGTCTCAGAACTCAGAGGGCAGGGAAGGGACTTTAGTTTATGACGAATTAACCTCACAGGCTGGTGGGAAGCTCCCCCCGCCCCCCCCCCCGCCCCGCCACACTGCCGCAGGTCATCCTGTGTCTTAGGGCTCAGCTCCGTCCTCTCTGGGTCTAGAAGCGCCCTAGGGCAGGTGGGTGCCCAGAGGCGCGCATGTTTTCGATGCCCTATTTCCCAGGCCTTGGCCATCTGGGTGCCTTGCCATCCGGGCGGCTTCTGCGATGCCAGGAAATTGGGTCGGGCATCGACTCTGGGTGTGTCACAGTGGCCCTGACGCTGGCTCCACCAAGCCTGCGTCCCCAACATCCAGCAGTTCTGTGGTCCTCCTGCCATCTGGAGGGCGTGGCTGGCTCCAGACTCACCCCCTAGCAGAGCCAGATTTAGCAAAAAAGAGACCCCAAAACCAAGACCAGAAACAAACAGGCAAACAAATAGGATGCCCAGTTAAATTTGATTTTCAGATAAACAACAAAATTTTCCAGTATAAGTACGTTCTGGGCAATGGTTGGGACACATACTAAAAAAAAGATTGCTTGTTTATGGGGACCTTCCATCTAACTGGGGTCCGTAGGGTCCCTGCTCGCCCTGCCGCATCCTGTCCCTCCGCAGAGGCTCTTTCTTTCCAGTCTCGGGAAGACCCTCCCATCCTTAGTGCGACTAGACTTCTAGAAGCAAAAGCGGGGGCCTTGCTGCTGGTTCCAGCACCCCTCCACCAAAGCCCGGAGCCCGGAGCAGGCCACCCGCTCCGTGAGGGACTGCAAAGACCGGGAGAGGGAAACGGGTCTTTCTCTCAAAATAGCATCCGGCCTCCTCCGGATCGAGCTTCAGCGGAGGAGACCCTGGAGGTCGGAGGGGTGGGAGGCTGGGCCCCCAGCCTCACGAGTGGGCCGGCCCCCTTGGGGAAGGCTGGCTGGCTGGCTGGCTCAGTCACTCCTTGGCCCCCTTCTTGCCCTTGGTGGGCGGGTGGTCAGCGCGGATGGTGCCAGGATCCCGCTGCCTGTTCCCCACCCAGCCCAGCGCCCGCCACACCCTCCCATGTGGCTCAGTGGTTCTCATGGCCCATCTCTCTTGGTCCTAGAAGTGACTCTAAGGGAGGCGAGGGTTTAAGGGTTCATATGTTTTAGCTGCTCTCATTTCACACACGGGCACACTGAGGCCGGGGACGGGGCAGCCACTCCACTGGGGCTGCACAGCCGGATGACCGGCCTGGGGTCCTGCCTCCCTGGACGCTGCTGGTTCTCGGTTTCTGAGAGGCTGCTGTGCGGTCACTTTTCTTTCCAAAGGCTTGGGGACGTTCCCATTTCTTTATTTCTTACACAGAGTTTTCATATCGTAATCCCAGGCGTACAATTTCACATAAAAGCGTACACAGGAAAATGCAGACTTTCGGGGGTTTAGCCCATCTTTCCTTTCTGCTTGAGGCCCCATCTTCTCTGTTAACCCTTGAGGACACAGTCTAGGATTTACCTTTCCGTATTTTCTCCCTGGTCACATAATCGCACGTACAGATGTGTACAGAGGGTTTGGTCCACGGCTGTCTCATAAAGATGAAATCTCGCTCACATCCTCTCCTGCATCCCACTGTCTCTCCTGGTGCACCGTCAACCTTGTGGAGACTCCTCCGGGCCCAGACACGGTGACTGTAACCCACGTGGGCAAACCAGAGCCTCTTTTAGAAACAAACTTTATCCGCGCACGGCCATACCCGTCATTACGTGCCGTCTGTGGCTGCTTTCACGCCACATCGGCAGAGACCATGTGGCCGCAGAACCTAAAATATTTACCATCCAGCCCGTTAACAAAGACTTGCTGGCTCTGACAGCATGTTCTTTTCACTGGCAGCACCCCGGCCCCGGCGGGGCTGGACGGTCCACATTGCCATTTCCTAAGGCCGGAGCTCGTGGGCGGTGCCCTCTGCCCACTCTCGGTTCTTCTGGTCATGGCTGAAGTCATCCCCTAAACAATGAACCACGATGGTCCCCATTTTGTTGAGTGCTTATTGTGTTCTTTATTCTTCATAGCAATCCTTTCGGGCAGGTGCTACAGCTACCCCCTTTTACATAAGCAGGTAGGGTCTCAGAGAGGTGGAGTAACTTGCCTGGGACACACAGCTGGGCAATCGGGCCAGGCCTAGAACTGCCTCTCCCGAAGTGCCTGTGGGTACTCACTCCTCCTCTGTGGCCTGGACCATGGCCGGCTGACTGCAGGCCTCAGAGGATGGAGTGGCTGCCGGCTTCTCTGTCCTCTGAGCTCAGGCACCCCTGCAATGTAGTCTCGTGCGTCTTGGAGGAGCGTCCGGATCGCTGACCCTTCTCCTCTCTCCTTCCCCCTTCAGGCTTTCTATTACGACCTGGACAAGGTGAGTGAGGCTTCCCCTGTCTGCACGTGGGAGGCACGTGGGCCGAGGCTGGGCCTGGCTGACAAGTATAACAACTTTGTTCGCATTCCATCCTCCGGCCACCTCCTCGTTTTACAAATGGGGAAACTGAGGCTCAGCGATGAGCCTTCCCCTGGGATGGTGAGGGGCTGGCCTGGCTTCGAGCCCAGTTCTCTGTGTTAGGACCTGCAGGAGGGGGCAGGGCCGGGGGGCGGGGGGGCCAGGCCCCTTTACACATCTTTTCTTTTTCTGGAGAAGCAAACGCGCTCCGTGGAAAGGCACATCCGGAAGATGGAGTTTCACATCAGCAAGGTCAGTGGGCCCTGCCGTGCCGCAGGCTGGGGCCGGGGAAGTCTTGGGCTGGCTGGGCCTCCGCTGGGTTAGCCCCCAGCCTTCCGGGTGCCGGGCGGCTGGAGGAAGCTGAAGAGGAGCCGGCGCTGCAGGGCCGAGCCCTGAGGTGGGGACCGGGGGGTGGACTGTGGGGTTTAGACAGCAAAACCTCATGCTTGGTCTCAGAGGGCTGGGAAGGTTGAGTCCAAACTCCCATTGTAGTGATGGGAGAGTGGAGGCCCAGAGAGGGACAAGGGTTGGCCCAAAGTCGCACAGCAAGTCCTTTAAGCTTTAAAGTCTGTAGACCCTTCCAAGATCTCGCTTTACTCTCCCCCAGGACATGAGGAACCCACCTCCCCTGTTTTATAGCTGAAAACTCAGGCAGGGGTGGGGGTGACGCCTTCCCCGTCCAGTTCACTAGTTTTCATTGTGCACCAACTGCACGCCAGCCGCTGCCAGGTGTGGGGATATGGAGTGGATGAGGCAGACGTGGTCCCTGCCCCCGTGGGCTCACCCTCTATGGGGTGGGGGAACGAGAGTCGAGAGCGTGACCGTGCAGGGTGCGATGCCGTCAGGGGTTGGGGTGGGGATGTCAGCTGGGGCAGCCTCTCCGAGGGTGAGGGTGGCAGGTGGCCCTGGGGCCCTGCCCCCCCCAGCCCGGGTGGCACCCAGCGGCCTGTGCCCGCAGGTGGATGAGCTCTACGAGGGCTACTGCATCCAGTGCCGCCTGCGCGACGGCGCCTCCAACATGCAGCGTGCCTTCTCCCGGTGCCCACCCAGCCGTGCCTCTCGGGAGAGCCTGCAGGAGCTGGGCCGCAGCCTGCAGGAGTGCACCGAGGTGGGCGCGGGTGCTGGGGGCTGGGGCGGGCCCCGGGGAAGATGGTTGTCCGCCCACGGGCCTCTGACGGCAGGGTCTGTGCGTTCCCCTGCGGCCAATCCCGGGCCAGCGGCGAGCGCCCTGTGTGGGGCTTTGCAGGACATGTGGCTCATCGAGGGGGCCCTGGAGGTTCACCTGGGCGAGTTCCACATCAGGATGAAAGGTAATGAGCTGAGTAGGGGCAGAGGCCAGTCTGGGTGGGGTTTCAGAACTTCTGGGGCTCCCGGACTTCTGCTGAGGGTCAAGGGTTGGTCAGACTCCCAGTGGTCCAGGCCCAGCCCTGGGTTCCCATTCGTGTGACATGGGACCTTGGGCAAGTCCCGTCCCCTCTGTGAGTTGGATGTGAGGGCCCAGGCCTAGCTAGTGTCCGTCATGACAGCTTATCCCTCCCTGAAGCTGCTACCTACCCTTGGGTGGGGGCAGGGGGCATCCCTGGTGAGGGCCTGTGGTCCACGGGCAGGGGCAGCGGAGGGCAAGAGGAGATCAGCCCGTCTCTGTGTTCCAGGCTTGGTGGGCTATGCACGCCTCTGTCCTGGAGACCAGTACGAGGTATGGCCACCCTCTAGGGTCAGTCCTCAGGGCTCCCCGCCAGGCCTTGGGGGTTGGGAGCTGCTGGGAACCAGGGTCCCAGCTGGGTTTGTCCCCATCCCCACCTGGCTGGAAGGGAGGGCCCCCTGGCAGGTGGGGCGTCCACCTGGGGCTGACCTGTCCCTTCTTGGGCCTTGTCCACAGGTGCTCATGCGCCTGGGCCGCCAGCGCTGGAGGTTGAAGGGCCGGATTGAGTCGGATGACAGTCAGACCTGGGAGGAAGAGGAGAAGGCCTTCATCCCCACCCTGCACGAGAACCTCGAGATCAAGGTGGGTGGGGCCTAGGGGCAGGGCCGGGGCGCCCAGAGGCTCCGATCGGAGACCACCCACAACTCCCCATCCCCCAGGTGACAGAGCTGCGGGGCCTGAGCTCGCTGGCGGTGGGCACTGTGACATGTGACATCGCCGACTTCTTCACGACCCGGCCGCAGGTCATTGTGGTGGACATCACAGAGCTGGGCACCATCAAGCTGCAGCTGGAGGTGCTGTGGAAGTGAGTAGGGGCCACTTCCCCAGCCCTGCTGCCCCACCCCAAGGCCAGCCCCAAGCTCCCACCGAGGGACTCCCACCCAGAGAGGAGAGACAGGCCCTTGCTGGCTCCCCCTGGTGGCCTGACTGCACACTAGCATCCACGTGGGCATCCTGCCCTCATCCTGCCCCAGGGACAGGCCTGGGCCAGACCCTCTGGCAGGCCTCGCCCCTCTGAGTTGTAATTCCTTCTCACTTTGGAGCGAGTGGCTTTTCAAGAGCCAAGCGGCCCCCTGGGCTGGGCTCCCTGGAGGGGCCGTCTCTGCCCAGGATGGTGCTCCCTGCTGCTCCCGCACCTCAGTCCTCTCTGACCCCTGCGGCCCAGTGGGCTCAGGCTGAGCGGTCACCTTGAGTCCCCCCTGGGCCACAGACCCGTGGATGGGGGACACTCATGGAACGCTCCTGCCTGGGGTGGGGGTGCTGCCCTGAGCATTGCATTTCAGTGGCCGCGGGTGGTTCCCAGAGGGCGGGTGGGCAACAGCGCTCTCTTCCCCAGTGAGACCCTGCGTTTCGACGGACCCTTCCCCTCGTTCCTCAGGGCAGATGCAGCGGGCACCAAGGGGCCGGGCCGGGCCGCCTGTCCTGCAGCTCACTCTGACCAGCGGCGGCCGGTCCCCACTCCCCTGGGGTGGGTGTCCGGGCGTGGCCCCAGAGCTGCTGCTGTCTCCCAGGAGGCGGGTGAATTTGGGCAAGTGGTCACCCCAGCCTCAGTGTCCCCATTTGTCTAGGGGCCGGAGCACGTGCTCTGGGAGCCCCCTGGAGCACACAGGGCAGAGGGCTGCCAGCGCCACACCACCTCGGCCGGGCCCTGGGCGGGCAGGGGAGGCGTCCTGGACGGGCTGCAGGGCCTCTGCCCGTGGGCCCACCTGCGCCAGGCTGAGCGTCACCCCCCCACCCTGCCGTGGACCCAGCCTCACCCGTCACGGGGCCGACACGACATCCTTCTGTAGTGGCGCCCCTTCCAGATGAGCAATCTGAGGGGTGGGGACACAGTCTACCCAGACAATGGCAGAACTGAGCGGCCACCGCTCACCTGCTGAGCCGCTCGAGGGGCCTCTGAGCGGGGTGTCCCTCACATGTGCCATCCGGCCAAGGGCCTCAGGGTGCTGGAGGCCGAGAGCCGTTTCCCAGACAGCTGCGAATGGGGACCTTGAGTTCCCGGGCACTGGCCGGGCCCTGCGCCTCCCCCAGCCTCCATCCTCCTGAGACCCCTGGGTCCTGTCTGTGCCAATGTCCTCCCAGGACCGGTGACCCCTGTCCTCTCCTCCAGCCCGTTTGACACTGAGAGCTTCCTGGTGTCTCCCAGCCCCACGGGCAAGTTCTCCCTGGGGAGCAGGAAGGGCTCCTTGTACAACTGGACGCCCCCGAGCACCCCCAGCTTCCGGGAGAGATACTACCTGGTGAGTGAGCCTGTGGGGCCTGGGGGGTGCTCTCCGGGCCGGCACGGGGGCTGGGCCAGCAGCGGCCACCTCCAGAAGTAGCGAGCCTGGGCTCAGCCTCCCTTCCTTGGGGTTCTCCTGGGTGTTTTCTGTGCTTTCTCCTCCTTGCTGCTGGCTCTCCACGCTGGGGGCCTCTGGACTTGGTTCCTGGGCGCCTGGGATGGGCTCTCTGGACGGTTCCACCGCCCCAGCCGTGGCCGGGGCCTCCAATGTGTTTGTTTCAAACTTGAATGCAGTATGTGTTTCTAGCAGGTAATACTCTGAGACCGTGTACAGTAAAACATCTTTCCTGCGGCCGCCAGGGAACTGGTCCCCTCCTTAGCGGCAACCACTGTGGTCGCCTTCCCCCGGATCCGCCCCGTGCCGCCTGGCAGCCGGGGCGCCTTCTCCTCCGGCTCCCCCTCCAGAGCAGCCTCTTTAGCCTCGTGAGGCACGGGCGGCAGAGCAGAGCCCCCTGTCCCGGGCTCCCTCAGTCTCTCCCGCGCCACGTGCATGTGTGGCTGCATCCTACTTCCTTTGAGACATTGAGGCTGCTTGCGTTTTTGGTGTCGCCAGCGACAGGAGAGTGAAGAACCTTGCACATGTGTCCCTCCACCCGAGTGCGAGTGCCTCCCCACAGCGCGTGCCCCAGTGAGAGTCTAGGCAGAGAGACGGGGGCGGGGAGGGTGACGCTGGGCTGGACCCTCAGCGGGGAGGGAGGCTTTACACGAGCCCAGCAACCTGAGCGCTTACAGAAGACTGTCTGGCCATGGGGGCCAGTGCATCTTGGTTAACACGTCATCTATAGTGGAGAGCATGGACTCTGGAGCCCCACAGCCTAGGTTCAAATTCTGTCTATGCCTCTTACCTGCAGTGTGACCTTGTGCAAGTTGCTCAACCTCTCTGGAGTTCGATTTCTGTATCAGAGAAATGAGAATGACAGCACTGCCCTGATGGGGTCTTGTGAGGGGTAAATGAATGAATAACGAGAAGTGCTTGAGAGGAGGCCAGGCAAGAGACGGGGCAGCAGGAGCATCGACCGTGATGCTGGGGCTGCTTGACACGCAGAGGGCGAGGGTTTGTGCCGCACGCCTGCATTCAGATCCTTGCCCTCTGCTCCGGCCCGGGACGGCCTCTAGAGGTCAGAATGCTGCGCCCTCCTGGAGGCGAGGGTGGAACGCAGTGGGATCGGAAGCCCCTTAGGGCGGGTGACCGCTGAATGCTTAAGGACAGCTGCTGTTTTCAGAGGATGAACACTCAGTGCGTACCACAGCCAGGTCCTCACTCCTTCATTCACTCACTCATTCAAAACCACGGCTAGGCTCTAGGCCAGGTGAGGACATCAGGACCAGAGGGAAATCCAGCGTGGGGGAAGGGACCACCAGGGCAAGGTGGGAGTTACTATTTAAGATAAAGTGTCCAGGGAAAGGTCCCTAGAAAAGGTGACATCTGAGTAAGGACCTGAGGGGGCAAGGGCACAAGCCACAACACATGGGGAAGAACGTCACCCTTCAGTGACGCTGAGAACATAGTCAGTTCAAAGGCCCTGAGGTGGGAATCTGCGAATGAGCCTGGAGGGTGTAAGAAACAGCAAGGAGGCCGCTGGGGCTGGAAAGGAGTGAGTTAGAGGGGTGACGGCGACAGGGAGAGGCTCCAGGCTCCTGGCAGCACCTCTGGGTCGCCAGTCACCTTGGCAGACCTCAGCCATCCTGAGAATGTGAGCGTGCAGAGCAAGCGTCTGTGGGGGCCTCGGGGCAGCCGTGGGCGTCCCTGGGATGGCCGGTGAGGCTGGTCCTATGTCTCTCTCTCCAGTCTGTCCTGCAGCAGCCAGCACAGCAGGCCTTGCTGGTGGGTAGGCCGAGGGCCACCTCCGTCCTCAGCTGCCTGTCTGACAGTGACCTGCAGGGCCCCGGCCTGCGGAGCCGCAGTCAGGAGCTGCCTGAGATGGACTCCTTCAGCTCCGAGGACCCCCGGGACACTGAGACCAGCACATCAGCGTCCACCTCGGACGTGGGGTTCCTGCCCTTGGCCATCGGCCCCAACACCTCCATTGAAGAGGAGGCTCAGGAGGACCCCCCGGTCCTGGGCCTCCTGCCAGAGGCTGCTCACCTGGCTGGAGGCTCGCGCGTGGAGCCGCCTGGCTGGAGGAATTTGGGAGTAGAGAGCCCCACCCTGCCACGGGGCTCCCCATTCCAAGACCACGGGATCTCAGGGAGCCAGGAAGGCCCCGATGAAGGAGAAATCAGGCACGGAGTGGACCGGCCTGGAGAGAGCCTTGAGGGGCCCCTCCAGGAGGTCCTGGACTTACTGGGATCCATGGACTCCACCCAGCCCCGGCTCCGGGAGCTGGAGTACCAGGTCCTCGGCTTCAGGGACCGGCTGAAGGTATGTCCCCTCTTTGCTGGGCAGCACCTGGCTTTGCTGATGGTGTAACGACTGGGAGTGGGTTCTGGGGGCAGCCAGCCTGGGCTGGCCTCCCTGCCTCACGCCATGTGACCCGGGCGGGCGATGTCTCCTCTCTGGGCCTCAGTCTGCTCACCTGCCAAGTGGGGACAGCAGGCTTATCAGGCTGGGAGGAGGATTCTCAGAGGAAGTCGGGGCTCAGAGTGGACCTGGCCAGAACCCAGCCCGTCTTACATCTTCTGACCCGGTCAGCTGGGGCTGCAGCTCGGCATTAAGATCCCAAGCTTGGGGTGCTCTCAGGGTCAGAGCCACACCCCACACGGAAGCTTCTCGACAGGGCCCACGCCAGGGGCCGTTCTCAGGTGGCGCCCAGAGGTGCTGGCCGGGGCAGACTGTGCCATTTTCTTTGGTTTACATAACTTTAAATGTACATCAAATAAAATGTCTAACACCAGCACCCACTGACACATCAGTTAACTTATGCAAACACCATGCCTGTGGAGGATGCATGGGCACTGCCGTAGCTTCCGTCTCTTCCAAACTCAGTCCTGGCTGGTTCACCCCCACATCACACACAGCCAGGTGACAGGGAGCTGAGCCTGCATCCACGCCCGGGAACTTTAAAAACGGACTGACTGTTGGCCACTGCTGCGGTCTTTAAAAAGGACCTGCCGGAAGATCTGGAGAGAAGGATTGCAGAAAGGGTGTCACCTTTTTGTGTTTCTTAAAAGCATTCTTACATAGAACAGCGTGAGTTGGCACAACGCAGCTTCTGCCACAGACCTGTATTCTGAAAAATTATACCCATTTTACCTAAAAATCTTAAAATAAGACTGCAAGAAGGCAATAATTTTGAACGCCTTTGAGGAACTTCTTTGTTTGGCAAACCAAGTTAGAACAGAACAAATGATAAGAGGCTGTGGTTTTAGTTTGACTTTTGAAAGAGAATATACACACGCTTCTATGTGTGTAAATACGTACGTGCATATATTTAAGTCTATACAGCTGGCTCTCACTATTCACGGGTTCTGTTTTTGCAAATTCACCCACTCGCTAGAATTTATCTGTAACCCCAAAGTCAATATGCTCGATGCCCCATGGTCGCTCGAGGGCGTGTGCAGGGGGAGCGCCACGTCCCGATGCGCGTCCCTGCGGAGGTGGGACGCGCCGATGCTCTGCTTTCTCGTGTCGGCCACCTGGATGCAAGTGTCCCCCTCAGTCTAGTTAGTGCTGTTTTTCACATGGTTGTACTTGTTTTTGGCGATTCCACTGTTTACAACGGCCCATGAGCGGCATGCTGACGTGCCGTCCAGCATCCCCAAGCGCAGGGAGCGGTGATGGGCCTTCTGGAGAAAGTGCGTGCGTTCTGTCAGCTGGCTCCGGCGCGGGTCACGGTGCTGCTGGCTGTGAGCTCAGTGCTGGCCAGTCAACAGCAGATATTAAATACAGCGCCTTTGAACAGAAACCCGCGTCAACGAGGTTCTGTGCTGATGGTTGATGAAAATGCCGTGACCTGAGGCTCACGGCCGTGGCACCCCCAGGAGCAACGGTTCGGTGTCCGTGGCGACTTTAGAGACCACAACCACTGCGAACGATGAGAACTAACTACGCGTGCGCGCACACACACAAACTTTCTACCAGAAAGGAAACCTCTGCAACTCGCCTTATTATTCTCCCGTTGCTCAAGGTTTTCTCTTGGGGCCCCCTCTTAGGGCCCCAGCTCTGGCTCGGGGGCAGTGTGTCTGCTCGGGCTATGTCTTAGGCGCACTTAGTTGGGACGAGGCCCAGTGAGCTGGGCACGGGGACGGGAGCCAGCCCTGGAGTCCCACCACATATCGGAACAAGACCGGAATTTCCATTCGTGGATTTCTAGATGCCAAGGAAGGGACCTGTCACCTGGAGGCACTGAGCACCAGTGGCAGGAGCGGTGGCTGCAAGGCCCCTCCCCGGGGAGGGTCTGCCTCCAGCCTCCTCTTCTCTCACGTTCCCTGGGAGAAGTGACCCCTGGAGTCGAGGGGCTCGCCTGGCAGCCTTGGAGCCCTGAAGAGGTGTTGGCCTGGCCCACACCATATTTAAACATAATTTGGAGGTAGTTGTTGTTATTTATAAACTGGGTAGCCTCCCACAAAAATCTAGGTTTCCAGCTTTTCTTAGGAAGTTGAACGACCTGGCCACACCGGCCTGTTCTCAGGCGGTGGCTGCTGAGCAGAGCAGCAGCCACCCTTTGGGGGAGGGCACCGGCTCTCCTGCTCTCCGTGGTCCCCAGACCGCTCCCTCACTCCTGTCCCTTGTCCCGTCCCTGTGGATGTCTGTGATGGGGAGACTTTCAGCTCTGTCTCCCTCAAGCTTTTGCACCACACCTTGTCATAGGCCACTCAGGACAGACCTCGGGGAGTGCCTACCCCGGCCCGTCCCGACCTGGCAGACTGGGACCCCCACTGAGGGACGGCGCTGTGGCTGGGCCGCTAGGAGGTGGGTGTGCTGGGCTGGGCGGGCGAGGGGCCACCCCTCAGGGTCCCCATCGTCCACAGCCCCGGGTCGCCCGCCAGGAGCGCGCCTCCACCGAGAGCCTGCTGGAGTGCGTCCTGGAGAGCTTCGCCTTCCTCCACGCCGACCTGGGCGCACGCCGGCTGGCCCTGCTCGGGGGCTCCCCAGGCCCAAGGTGAGTGCCCATCTGCCCGCTCCGGCCCCTGCCTCCACCGCCAGAGCCCATGTGTCCATGGCCTGGCACAGAGCAGGGCCCTGGTGACCACTGCAGACCGAGGACACCCCAGCCTGGCCCGGAGCCTTCTACTACGAGCAATGGGCTTTCTGTTTATCATAAAAAGCTGAGTGCACAGTAGCACCTCTGTCCTCCACTGAGCCAACGCGCAGCGGCGCCCTGTGCCCCCGTCTCCTGCACCCTTGCCCGTCCACGCCCTTCCTCCCCCAGCCCCACCGTCCCTCCACTGCCCCGAGCGCGTCTTCCATCCCAATCTCAGCGGCACAGAGGTGTCTCCACTGCTCCTCTCCTCTGCCATCCCACGGGGGGGTGGCACTGCCCCCACACTCCCGGGTCACTCCCATCCTTCCTCAGGCCTCGGGGTCAGCTCTACTGTGGGGCGCATCTCATTCACCCTCACTGCCTGAGCCTGGGGCTCCTGTCCCCACTTTACAGACGAGTAAACTGAGGCTGGAAGGGGCAGACCTATCCAGCATCACGGACGGTGGCCCCCCCAGGCCTGGGGACACCATGGCACACAGTTTGTGTCGTGCGCCTGTTGTTGCTCTTCCTTTCCCCTTAGTGTTCTCCTCAGCTCCACCACACCGCCCTGGGGCCCGCAGTCGCCCCCTGGTCAGAGCTCTGCAGGGAGGGGGGCCCCTCCACCCTCCGAGGGAGTGGAACCGCCACCCGGAGCGCTCACCCAGTTCTTCTCAATTCAACTCAGGAGGGACGGGACGCCACCCCCAGCGCCATCGCTGCAGGCGTCGTCCAGGGAGCTCACGGCCGGCACCCTGGAGCTGGACACGCTGCTCACCATACACCTCCAAGTCTGCAAGGCTCTGCTGGAGGTGGCCGAGGGACAGGGGCGGGGACACCTGCCAGGGGCCTGGGCTGAGGGTTGGGAGTCCTCTCTGCAAAAGGCGGACCTTGAAGGTGGTGGGAAGCGTGGTGCAGGAGCGAGGGAGCCAGGCGCTGGGAGCCAGGGAGACTGAGGAGCTCCCTCTGCGCAGGCCCAGGCCAGGCCTGGGTGGACAGTCATGTGGCTCTCATGCAGCCCTGGCCCTGAATCAAAGGCAGTGGCTGCGACTCTCAGCTGTAGATGCCAGAACTCCAATCCAAACTGGCTCGAGAAAAAGGAAAATTTACTGGCTCACAGAACTGAAAGGCCCAGAGGTGGGCTTCAGGCCCAGGTGGATCCAGGGCTTCAAATGTCATCAGGACTGTGTCTCTCCCTCCCTCGGCTCTGCTTTTCTGTGTGGGTTGGCTTTCCTTTCAGTCTGACTCGCCCTTTCTGGTGGTGAAGGCAGCCCCTGGCAGCTCCGGCCTGTATCCTATCACCTCAGCCACCTTGGTGCGGGGGGATGAGACAGAAAGGATGGGCACAGGGAAGGTGGGGCCGTGGTCATGATGGCCGATGTCGGACGGCATGTTCTGTGCTAACCTGGAGCATCATGGGCTGCTTCCCAGAAACTGGCCTCTCCTAATCTGTCAAGGATGGTCCAGGAACGCCTTCTGGAAGAAGCTGCACAGCAAAAGCGGGTTCTGGAGACGCTGTCTGTGATTGATTTTGAGAAGGCCAGCAAGGCGGCATGCGTTGAAGAGAGTAAGTGACTGCCTGCCACCCACGGGCTGCTCGTGTGGATGGCATGAAGCCCAAGGGAGCCTCATCTCTCTTCCCGGACATCCGAAGTTAACTGGAGGCCAGGGGCTGTGCATGGGGACAGTGGCTGGGCCGGGCTCAGAGACACACACTGCAGGGGCCGGGAAGGGGGCACACAGCCTTGGAGTTGGCAGCACATGCTCTTTGGTCAGCTGGGTGACTCTAGGAAAACGATTCACCTCTCTGAGCCTCAGCTTCCCATCTGTATAATGGGGAGGCCACTGGGTAGAGGTCAGTGAGTAATCCGCAGGACACATTCCAGGTACACAGTGTATACTCAGATTAACAGTGGCCGTGACCTCAGTTCTGCCTCTGCCCCCAAGGGCCCTCTCCTTGTCCCCAAGGAGAAGCTGGTGACAGCAGCCACCCCAGGGTTGTTGTGAGGACGGTGGGTGGTGACCAGGCCAGGTGCCTGTCCTGTGTCACACTGGAAGGTGGGAAAGGGACACTGCATTTGGCTCTGTCATCCCTCCCCTCCCAGTCTCTGGGTCCGAGAGGAGACCCTGGGCCCCCCGTCACTAGCTCTGGCCCTCACCGGGCATCTGAGCCTGGCCTTTCAGTCCTTGCGCAGGCCGCCCAGAGGAAGGGGTGTCTGAGGCTGTGGAGGGGGTGTGCAGGGCCCAGCGGGGTCCTGTCCTGCCCTGGCTCGGCACTGCTGCACCAGCTCAAGAGGACCTTCCTGCGCCGAGTCCGAGCGAAGTGCCCGGGACAGCTGGAGACAGGTAGCTCCCTCCACCCCACGAGACGCGTCGGCCTCCAGGCCTGTCCCCTCCCCACGGCCTCAGGGTGGCCCTGGCTTCACCTCTGCAGGGCGTCTTGTGGCCAAACAGCGGCCATTTCTCAGCTGGGGCATGTCAGCTCCCCTTCCTGGGCAGAGAAAGGGGGTGTGTGAGCCCCGAAGCCCCAGTAGCAGTGGACGATGCGTTTTTCTGGGGACCAAGCCCATAGCTGCCCCCAGAACCTTCAGGGGTTAAGGAAGCGCCTCGATGGGGAGGGAGGCGCCACTTGATCTGCCCAGTAAGGGGTCTTGAAGCCTTGCTGGCCTCTTCCTCAAAAGGCAGAGAGCATCTTCCTCGGTTGACACCTGAGGGCGACAGCCGTCCTCGAGGCAGTGGCTCTGGCACTCACGCGGCCCTAACCGCTGCCTGGCTGCCCGCTGGCCTACAGATTGATTCAGGTGCGGGGGCCCGGGCACGGGGATGCACCCCCAAGACTGCCTGACTGGGGGCTGGGGCCCCAGCTGGAGCACATGCCTTCGCACAGTGAGGGACAGCTGTCCACGTGCCATCAGCAGGCCTTTGAACTGACCGCGCCACACCGCCTGAGAAGTCCCGAGGGGGTGCGGGCTCAGTCCTCACGGCCTTCTCTGTCCTGCCAGTGTGCCGCCGGCTCCTGGAGCAGGTGATCAGCTGCGGCGGGCTGCTCCCCGGAGTCCGGGCCCCTGAACAACAGACCGTCACCTGGTTCCAGTTCCACAGCTACCTGCAGAGGCAGAGTGTCGCCGACCTAGAGAAGCACTTCGCCCAGCTCACCAAGGAAGGTGGGCTGGGGGCGGCAGGTGCCTCACGGCAGCGTGGAACAACAGAGCCATGTCCGTCCCTGGGTCCTCTGTCCCGGTTTTCAGAACCGCCAGCTGTTCTTTTGAGAGCCCAGATTTAATCAGGGTCCACACGCAGCCCACGTAGGAACTGGTTCCCCAGGAAGAGGTGGCTTTCCAGGCCCGGAGCAGGGGTCAGAGCTGGGGAAGAGTGATGCTGGGCTGGCTGGAGTCCCAAAGCATGAGCTGCGGGCTATTAATTTTCTGGTGTACTTGACCCCTTGCCAGAAAGCGTTCCTAGAGATCCCAGGAGGCCCCTCTGAAACCAACCCAGACGTGCCTTGGTGGACACATGGGCTTGCCCTGGGACCTGCTTCTCCATGGCAGTTGCAGTGGCCAAACTGACCTGCGCTGTCCCGCCCAGCCCCAATCAGAGGGGACCCTGGGCCCACTCCTTCCATCTCTTCCAGTCACGCTTGTCGAGGAGCTGCAGTGCACAGGGCAGGTCAAGACGCTCAGGAAGCTGCAGGGGAAACGGCTGGACCAGCTCCAGCCCCTGCCCCAGACCTTAAGGGCCTGGGCACTGCTCCAGCTGGACGGGACCCCGCGGGTGTGCAGGGCAGCCAGCGCTCGCCTCGCCAGCGCAGCCAAGAACAAGAGCTTTCGGGAAAAGGTACGGCAGGAGGAGGGGAGGTGGCGTCCCCCTGGCCGCAGGTGTGCAAGGCGGGCGGCTCTCCCTCTCTCGGAACAACACAAAGGAGTGAGGACGGGGGGTTGCATTCCCTGCAGGATATTTCGATTTAGGGAGGCTCCAAACGTGGGCACGGCCCTCCTCACGCCTTTGCCGTGGGTAACACCAGCCCTGGGGCGGGGTCTGGGCCCAGCTAGGGTTGCCAGGCCATCACCTGAGGAGCCTGCATAACCACACGCCACAAGCTTGCCACCTCGCTTGCCTCAGTGTTTCTAAAGCCACATACCCATTCGGTCTCTGGGACGTGACCTATAAGCAGGGCGTTTCTAGAATCCTGACGGCCATCCTCACGTCCTTTCAATCAGTCTGTGTGGTTGGCTGGTCCACTGTGTTCGGTCCATTTGAAAACCAAGATGGAACCCTCTGCCTTTTAGGCTCCTGGACTCATGGCATTCTTGATTTGAAGTAGTCTCTGAGCTGGGAGGAAGGCAGAACTGGGGCCGATTATAGTCTCGGGGTTCACCACGGGCCACCTCCCCACGTGCTTCCTAGTCAATCTTTAGGATTTTGGCAAGCAAGCTTTCTCTTCTGGCTGTAGTGACTGGACCAGGGTCACGTGGCGGAGGAGGTGGGTTCAGAGCTGTGCCGGAAAGGGTGGTGGGAGCAGAGCCCCTTGCCCTCTGGCCTGAGGGGTTCTCAGCCACGACGACGGCTCCTCTGTCCAGTTCTTCTGCTGTTCCGGCTGGACATCGGATTCCTCTGACGTGGCATTTTGTCTGGATGGCAGTTTCAGAATGCACTTCATAAACGTTGGGAAAAAGAGTTTTCACTTGACTACCGTCAGCCTGGGGCCAAGCATTTTTAGAGGTAAAGCGAATGCTGCAGGATAGACACTGGGACACTATGTGCACCTGGGCCAAAGATGAACAGCTCGCAGCCTGATTTTGTCTAGAAAAAGCTAAGCAGGGCGTGATTAGGGTCAGCGCCTGGAGGCGGAGCCGAGGGCCCCCTCACGGCAGCCTTTTTCGCAGGCTCTGCTCTACTACACGGCCGCCCTGGCCGAGGACGACGCCAAACTCCAGCAAGCCGCGTGCGTGGCACTCAAACATCTCAGGGTGAGTTAACCTGTCCCACTGGTGATGGGGAGAAGGCGGCTTGTGGTCCAAGTTAGTTCATTTCAAAATAAACCCCCGGAATCAAAATAAGAACGTCACTGCCGGCAACGCCGCACCTAGCGCTGGCTTTGGAGGAGCAGCCCTCGGCTCCCCCGCAGAGGCCGCTCCACCACAGGGAGCCTTCGGCTGGCTCTGCCGGGTCAGCAGTGGCCCCAGGGACCCACTTCTGCGCTCCTTGATCATATTATAGAAAATTCAGGATTCTTATCCATTTTTAAAATTGTAAATAATATTAAGAGCATCCTCGTGCTTAAAGCTTTTAAAAAATCGAGCTCTGGGGGGCCAGCCCAGTGGCGCAGTGGTTAAGTGTGCATGTTCCACTTCGGTGGCCCAGGGTTCACTGGTTCGGATCCTGGGTGTGTACCTATGCACCGCTTGTTAAGCCATGCTGTGGCAGGCATCCCATATAAAATAGAGGAAGATGGGCACAGATGTTAGCTCAGGACCAGTCTTCCTCAGCAAAAAGAGGAGGATTGGTGGCAGATGTTAACTCAAGGCTGATCTTCCTCAAAAAAAAAAAAAAAAAAAAGAGTTCTGAATTATTTCCTTAGGCTAGACTCTCCAGAGTGTTACTCCAGGGCCAGAGAATATGAACGTTTTTGAGATTCTTGATACAACGTAGCCCACTCACATGCCCCAAAGCAGATGAGAGGGGATGCCCGTTTTAACTCCGCCTCACCTGCATGTGGAACTCTCACTTAAAAAACCATCGCAAATTTGCTAGATGAAAAATAGTCCCAGATCGGTTCAACTCGCCCTGTTCATCCTGGAATGAGTCGACAAGGAATTCCAGGAGGACCATCTGGTGGTCATCCAAGCCAGGAAGAGGGTGCGGCTGCGCTCTGGTCCTGGGCCCGGAGGGGCAGGCGGACGGCGTGCCTGAGGCCTGCCGGGCTTACAAAGGGCATCCCACCTGCTACTTAACCACAATGGCCCCCAACAGACCCTCCTTTTCTCAACCTCAAACAGGGCATCGAAAGCATCGATCAGATCGCCAGCCTGTGCCAGTGTGAGCGGGAGGCTGTGCGAGCGGCGGCAAGGGAAGCCACTCTGTCATTCGGTAGGTCCAGCACTGAGCGGCGTGTGCGGCGCAGCTGGGTTCCCAGGGTCCTTAGAAAAGCTGTGGTCGACAGGCCAGGGTCAGCCCTCAAAGACACAACACAGCACACAGGGCAGGCAGTTAGAGACCTGTCACCTGCACTTGACCAAGGCAGGTTTCCTTCATGGTTGAGGTGGCAGGAAGTGCTTTTTCCTCTGTCGACTTCAGTTTACGCTCCTGGGGACGGGACTCAGGTGCGAGGCAGCAGTCACATACATCAGGCTCCGCATCAGATGCAGGGATGAGGCACTGGGGCCGTGCAAGTCGGCCGGTGGGAGCTCCCCAAAGGCTGCCCGCCCCCGGCCCCTCACAGCGGCACCCGAGACCCAGCCGACAGTAAGCACTAAGGCCACCTTGGCCTGCCAGAGTAGGAAACATGGGTGGGGGACAATCAAGTGACAGATCGCCTTAATATTTCAGGTGAAAAAGGCCGCTTAGCTTTTGAGAAGATGGACAAACTTCGCTCAGAACAAAGAGAAGCCGCCTTTTGCCAGGAGGCAGACGTTGAAATCACAGTATTTTAAGCAGCCTCAGCTGATGAGCTCAGATCTGGCATCTTCGTGTTTGCTGCTGCCCAGCCTCGACACAGGCACCGAGCTTCGGGGGTACTGTGTGCTCCCCTGGAAGCGTGAGCTGCTCCCCGAGTCTCCAGAGCAGCTGCAGAGCCCCAGGGCACACGGGAGGCTTCTGCACAGGAGCAGAAAAAAGTGACGCCCAGCACTCGGAAGGCGGCACAGCGGCAATCAGAGATGGGCTTTGGGCTCTGAGACTGTCTGACCTTCCCTGGATGCAGAGCTCTGGCGGGCCAGCCAGCCATGCTATGGAGGGGCCGAGGCCAGACAGGCTGAGGCCTGGAAGAAAAGGCTGCAAGACGAACGGGCTGAACTCGAGCTCTCGCGGGTCAGTGAAGACTGATTGAGGCCTCGAGCAGGCCGGCTGACCTTGTCAGGAGGGTGTGGTGGGTCTAGTCATTTCAGCAGCACAAGCTGTCCCCCGGGTGAGCTGCAGAAGGTGGGGAGAGGCAGAGCCAGGGTTTCTATGATGCACTTTTTAACATGAGCCTACAGCCCGCATGCCACAGGGGAGCCTGGTGGCAGCCTGCTGACCATGGACCTTATTTTCACTGTTAAAAAGCACAAATGAAAGAAAAAAATGCCACCGGCCAAGATGCCTTGGGTTTCATGTCAGCAGCAGCATTTGCTTTCACCTCACTCATCAAAATGGAATCCAGCTTTCGAAGCACGTCCACTTAGGGCCGTTAAATAAACTGCTTCAGAAGCCATGAGCTGGTCTGAAGAGAGATTTCACTGAAGAACATGTTTAAAGAAAGAAAATTAGTTGCCTATTTAAGTCTATTAAAAAATCTCAAACATGTCCTGAGCTGTTTGTGTTAACACCGTAGAGATAAGCGGGGTTTGCACGTGGCTATCCACAATGGCGTCAGAAAACTCCGTAACTTAAACATTCTCATTTAAACTTCCTGGACATATTTTGTTCTTTCTGGTGTAACTTAGTATTTATTTGCCTTGTTTCTATGTTCGATTTTCCGAAATTTTGATTAAAAAAACAATTTTTATTGCTGTTATATTTTACGTGAAATGGTAGAAAGTGGCGGCTGTTTTACCGAACCTCCGGGGATGGGAGCGGCCCCCCGTCCCCTCCGCGCTCTCCACGGTCTCCAGTGAGCCGGGGAGGCGGCTTCTCCCACACAGGTGGGGAGCAGGCTCCCCGGGTGCCCACTCCCACAGACGCCAAGGGGCAGGGCCCTTGTCTGGCCTCTGGCCATTTGATTCCTGCTCCAAAGTTACAAACTTAGTTATTCTTTCTCACGCCAGGATTCTAGCTCTTCATGAAAGCTTAGATGCCGTTTTTTGAAACTAGACATAAAATGAAGCTAAGATTGAAGTGACAGTGGGTGTGACAGCACCAGCCTGCTGCCCACAGTCCTCTCTGGGCGTCCCGTGGTCACAGGACCACAGCCCGTCTGTGTCCCGGTTCGGCGGAACTCGCTGGGAGGCCACAGCACAGTTTACTCAGCAGCCAGCTCTGAACAGTCATAAAACCTTCAAGGGCACAGGGAACTCTTTGTACTATTTTTGCAACATTTTGCAAGTCTGAAATTATTTCAAAACAAAGTCAAAACATCACTTTAGGAGAGATTTACATTTAACCCTGTATAAGAAAGGAAGCCTATGTGAAGTTTTTACATCTCACACTATCTCTACGTCAATTCCACATCGTGCGTGACCCACCGAGGCACCGAGATGGGGTGACCATTGTGTCTCACAGGCGATGGGACACATCCTCGAGGTGTGAACAGTTCCTCAAACAACGTGGAGATGTTTCAGGTAGTCGGGGGCCCTATACATTCGGTGTTGTTGCTGCTGCTGCTGCTGAAGGAAATGGGCTGAGGCCTGAAGCGTTAAATAAACTCACCGGGAAGCGGATGTCCCCCAGCCCAAAGGCACGCACAACTCCCAGAGGCCGCTGCAATTCTGAGATGTGGGAAGTAGAACCCTGCTTGATTGACAACATCTGCTTGACATCAGTAGGGATGGAAAGAAACAGGAGTTGCCCATCCTGGTTCAGGCCCATTAAGCAAAGAAATGGGAAGCACGCCAAATCCATGTTCTTTAGAAAAAAATTTTATTGTTGCAACTAAAATGCAAACCCATGATTTATATGGCAAGTTGGAAAACTGTACAGTTTAACAGTTCTGTGAGGTCACAGAAGACCCTGAGACGCGCCCCCCACCCCACCCCACCCCGTCATGCATCCACATATACACACACCTGACAAGGTATTATACCAAAACACCTCGCTTTTTTTGTTTGTTTTTATTTTTGTAAAAATGGTTTATTCCATGGCCATTGTAAAAAATAATGACCCGATGAGTAAATATCGGCTTAAGGCATATAGCAGAGCAGCTCACTACTTCTCTAACATACATGTAACAAGATGGAGAGCCATCTGTTTTCCAAGGATAGGAGGTGAAGCCAGTATATCCATTTTGAAATGCTACTATGTATATACACCCAAACTACTGCATACATATACAGGACTTCAGAAACAGACAGACAAGCCCAACTCCAGACTGCTCACAGCCTGCGCCGCAGCCCCACCCGCACCTCACCAAGGCTCTGTGGGGTGCCGCCGCTGCTCCCGCCGCAGAAGCACTCTGCACGGGCTCCTCACACGGGAAAGGCAAAATGTGAAAATGCTGGCAAAAGAGCAGCTCATGAGCTACAGCTGCCTTTTTTTCTTGTTAAAAAAGCCACTTAACGTGGAGATCTTACGTTCCCCTCGCAGGAAGAGCCGTGAGCACCATCAGTCCCCGGGGTCAAGGGCAGGGCAGACAAGCCTCTCTCCGCGAGGCCCCCGCCCCTCCCCCAGACCTAGACTCTAAGGGACCGTCATCCAGGTTGTCTCAAGAAGCGTGGTTTCCAACAGTTGCCTGGGCTCCAAACCCCAGTCTGCTCAAGGAGAGCGTGAACTGGGGATAGTGGAGGCTGATCCCAAAGGTGCTGGCGGGGAGACCCTGCCTGGCTGGATGTCCAGAGCGCGGGGTGTGACTATGGCTTCCCACACCCTTGGAATGTCTGAGTTACGGAGGGACCCAGCCGGACCAGGACAGGCTGGGCCTCACCAGGAAGTCACCAGAGTGTCATGCCAGGAATTAGGCAAATATCTGTTACTGGAAAACATCACTCCACTGCTGAAGGGCGATTATTTCAGCAACGGTCCTAGGAACCACACCAGGTAAGGATCAGATCATGCAAAGGGAGACTGGACTTGTCCACGGGGCACACCAGTAAGCAGAGATCTAAGTATTTCAAGCACGTGGTATTCGATCAGGACAAGGAAGACCGAACATGCATTCTAATACACACGGGGAGAGCGGAGACCGACAGCAGCAGTCTAGCAGATAACGGGGAGGGAACCACCGCGACAAGGGAATCTCACATCGCGTATCTTAAATATCCAAGTGTTCATTATATATTATCCCACTGTTCTATAAACATTTGCCAAACCTCTTCTCACGTTACCCACAGTGTCACGAAACAGCAACTGCTCACAACCGTCCTCTTCCTAGCACTGGTCTGACGCAGCAGGCTCACACCCCAGTCTTCCGTTCCCAGCACTACCTGAGGGTTCACTATTGTACTTTTTTGATAAAGCCCTTGATGCAGGGCTGACATCAAAAAATTTTAATACATTATTGGTTTAAGAAAATGCTAGTGCACTATGGATGCCTTTGGGGAAAAATAAAATAAATATGGAGTGGCGAGGCTCCTACATGCAGTCTTGGTGGAGGTTACGGGGAGGACGCTGTGCACCGCCCACTGGGATGCAAGGGGACACGCTGAGAGGGAGCCCTGGGTGAGGCGAGCCTTGCGACTGGCGCAGGCCACCCTTCCTCTGTGCCAAGGGCACCGCGCTCTGCTCTGCTCTCCTTCAGAAAGGCGTGTGGATCTGGGACCAAAAAGGGAGGCAGAGAAAGGAAAAGGGTAAGGTGTGAGGCCAGCAGCCTGGGGCGGGGCGGGGCGGGGGCACAGGGCGGCGGTGGTTTCTGGTTTCGGTGCAGAGCCAACGTCCATGCCGGTCCCGGCTGGCTGAGCTGTCCGGCGGCCCTGCCCTCCCTCGGCCTGCGCATCGGCTGCGGGCTCTGTGAGCAGGAGCCGCCAGCAGGGTGGAGGTGGGTCAGCCTATGTGTTGCTGTTGAAGAGGAACTGGAATGAAACCAAACATTTTCAGATGAGCCCGGACCCACCCCCGCAGGCCGCAGCCTCGGGCCCCAGGCCACCCTGCTCCTCACCACGCCAGCCTCCAGGTAAGGCGGTTTTACTTTTTTTTTTTTACAATAGCTTCCCCTTTCCAAAATTCACCTCTAAGGAAAAGACTGTTTGCTTGTTGCTAAACCATCTGATGCACTCAAAGATGGTTGCTTGGAAAGAGGTAAAATATTTTAAATGATTAAAAAAAAAACGGTCTCGTGAGGTGATTTCCATGACCAGAGTTTTCTTTTTCAAGATTGGCACCTGAGCTAACAACTGTTGCCAACCTTTTTTTTTTCCCCTGATTTTTCTCTCCAAATCCCCCCAGCACATAGTTGTGTATTTTTAGTTGTGGGTCCTTCTAGTTGTGGCATGTGGGACGCTGCCCCAACGTGGCCTGACAAGCGGTGCCATGTCCGCGCCCAGGATTCGAACCAGCGAAACCCTGGGCCGCTGAAGCGGAGTGCACGAACCTAACCACTCGGCCACGGGGCCGGCTCCCATGGCCAGAGTTTTGAGGCTAATCCTCTCTTCTCGTTACTTCAACAGCAACACACGTCTAACACGTGGATTTCTACTAATACGGAATTTATATTCCAAATGAAGTGGAGGCTGCTCCTTCCGGACCTTGACGGCAGGGTGAAAAGCCAGTGGCCGGTGGCCAGCCTGTGGTGAGCTCGGACCCTGAGGCCGGGCCTCGAGGAAGCTCGGTCTGGGGCATGGAGTGAGGCGGGCCGAACACGAGAGGATGGCCACAACAAGAAGGGACGGGCGGGGAAGTGACGAGAGAAAACCAGCGGGACACCCTGAGCAAAAGCAGAAGCCGGGTTTGTTTTCTAGAGATGGCCTTTTTTCTTCCTAAAACGGGAAAGCTCATAGGCACCGTGCGCGCTCAGTGTGCGTGCGCACAGCGGAGGAAGGGACTGAGCAAGACGGCGTCCTGAACCCCCGGAGCCTCCCCTCCGAAGGAGTGACATTCGCGTGAGCGCGAGTGCGGAGTCTTTCCCTGGGAGATCAAACAGAAACGGTGGATCTGCTCACGCCGCCGAAGGGCACAGGAAAGTTTCATAAGTGCCTAGTCTTTTTTTCCCCAGAAATAACAAAAAGCTGCTTTTTATAAAGGTTAAAAACAACAATGTGTTGTAATTCTATTTTTTCTTTCTTTTCAAAAACGAACCAAAAAAAAAAAAAAGAGAGAGAGAGACATATTTGGCATTTTCTCTACTTACTCCTGAACAGGTTAAGGCCCTGAGATTAGACTCGCATATTCTTGGGACCACAGGGCTCCTTGAAACCCCAGCGCATCAATCCTCAGTCCTCTCGTTAGCCCTTCACAGTTCCAGACTCTAAGAACCTTTGATCTGTTTCTTCTGAGACTGGCTCAGATCCTCGTGCAGCACTGGATGCTAACGCTGGGCTGTCGGCCAGTGCTCTCTGCACACGGTCTCGCCAGCACGTCTGTCAGTGAAAACATACCCTGTAGCAGAGGTACGCGCCGGCCGTGAGGACTGTGGCCATGCACATGTTGACCAGGAAGGGCTTCCAGTGAGTCAGCGCCTGGTCCTGCTCCTCCTTGGGCGGCGACAGCTCCCCCTGGGCAGGACCTCCCCCGGCGACCCGCCTTCTGACTTCAGTGTCTTGCCTGTTGCTGAGGAAGGAGGCGGCAGAGAGGGTTAGTCACTCTGGGGAGAGGATGGTGGGCATGCTATTCTTACGGGGGACTCTCAGGAGAACACGAGCACGGCAATGCTGACAGTGGCCTGAAGCCCAGGTGTCACGGCCTCCCTGCAGGGGCCCAGGTGGCCCCATAGCCAGGGCAGAGTTCTGGAGACCTGTGGACTCCTTGGTGGTGGAGGGTGGTAAGGCTCTGAGGAGAAATACAGCCACTGGTGCCAAGACAGATGCTAACTCTGCCCCGGGGTCCGCTCACAGGATGCTGCCCTTCAGATCAGGGGAGGCAAGGGCATGGCCCAGGTGCTACCAGCTCCACCCGGGCACCCCGACGGAGGCTGATTCACAGGGGCCCTTGACGCTGCTGACACGAAGACACCACACACTCCCACTGCCGTTCAGCACTGACCCTCCACCCACGCCATTGCAGGCCCGAGTCCCCTGCAGCAATCCAGTCCTGCCCACAGGACCAGGGCCAGGCGTCCTGTGAGCCATCTAGCGGCTGCCTTCCTGACGGCCAGCAAGAGCCACCCCGCGGGGATGACGTGCACTGTGTCCTTGCTCCAGGGCTGTCTTGGGAGAGGCCAGCAGAGGCTCGCGGACCTGTGAGGAGCCAGGCCCCTCCTCTTCCCACCCCTCCAGGCCTTCCCCTGTCCACCCTTGTCTCCACCAAGGAGGCCCTGGCCACAGGAAGTCCTGCCTCACGTGTGCACCTCCAAGGCCTTCCCACCCCAGCAGCCTCCTGTGTGGCTGGCAGGACCACTCGAGGCGCCAGGCTGCAGCAGACAGGAGGCTGCAGGAAGCCCTCACCTTCAGCACCCGCCCTGCAGCTGAGGCCTGTGCACATGGGCTCCCACTGTGTCCAGTGGCACTTAGGTTCTGGGTACAACTCCATTTCTCCTGGCACTCTCCAGCTTCCCAAACCCACGCACTTCCCCATTCACCACCTTCACACACAGCATGAAAGGCACCGTTCTCTCACTCGTGAAAGAACACGCGACACGAATGTGACCCAAGTCATTTGCCAGCTCCTGTCTCCCATCCTAGGCCCGCAGCAAGCCCTTGGATGGAGCACACAGGCCCACCCTGAGAAAGTCAACAGAGGCCCTGGGAAGCTGGGCACAGTCTCACTGGGGGACGGTCACCAAGCCACTGCTCAGCTGTCACATCACATGGCACCTGCTCTGGGAGGCCCCACTGGACAAGTGTCTCTCGAGCCCCAGAACCAGATCCTGTGTTCCTCTGATAAGGACCTGGGGCACGAAGGACCCTGGGGACTTAGGTTCCTGGGTCAGGACTGAGGCCTGGCCATCGGCATTTAGCGAGGTGCCTGGTGAGATTCTGACGATGGAATGAACCAGAGGACCCAACGGGGCACACGCCGCGTGTAATTCGCTTTCTCACGTTCTGTAACTCCAACGTCCAGCCATGTCAATATACCCAGATCCCGTTCTTTAACAGCTGCAGAATATCCAACAGAGGGAGAGAGCATGACGGACCTAATCCCAGGATACACGATCGGCTCATTTCTAACCTTCCCCATCACAGATGATGCCACAAGGAACACCTCTACGTATCTCGGCACCCTTGTTTGAGAACTGCTGCAGGCTAAATTTCTAATGTGCGTGAATGCTGGCTCAAAACGTGCACTCATGTTAAAGTGCCCTCCGGAGAGCAGGGCCAAGGGCACCGCCTCCGCAGTCTCAGGTTTCAGCCGACTCCCTCCTTCTTTAAGCTTCCAAGGTGCCCCTCCTGTCAGCAGCCTTCCTCAAGCACTGGGGAAGGTTCAGTGACTCTTCTCTAAGGCTCACCGCCTGGGCATGCACCTCCATTGCATCACTGTCCCCGGGCTCTGACTATAGTCTCCTGTCTCCCTTCAACCAGGGGGGCTACAACATTGAGCAGGGCCATGTTCTAGTGACCTCAGTATTTCACACGCCTCAACAGATGCTCAACAATCTTTGTTAAACTGTGAGGAAGCAAAATGACCATCATTTAGTCAAAACTAGGTGAAAAGGTTTAGTTCCCAAAAGGACCATTTTAGGAGCTGAAGGCGTGTGGTCAAGCGTGCACATCCCGCTTCAGGATGGGTTGGAAGCCTGGGGGCGGGCACTGTCATCACTGGGTGGGAAGATCCAATCAGCCTGGACGCACTCCTGATTCCAAGGAGCACCGCAAGGTGGTGCTAGACCCCCACTGAAGTCGGCACCTTCCTGGGCCAACAGGTGGCTTGATCGCCTAGGTTCTCCAGCCAGGGGACGGGAAGGATGGTGCAGGGGCCCCATTACCCAAGGACATAAAAGCACTGCATGCCAAGAGGAGGCTGCGTCCACAGGGTTTCGATATCAATACACGTTTCTGGAAAAGGAGGTCATTTCCCCTCGCCCCCAGTAAGCCAGGACCCTCTCACCTTACCTTTCCATGCTGCAGGGGACACTTAAGGGGGTTCTGGTTTCTTCTTGGATGGGGCCGTCGTCTTTATCCTCCTCGGTCGCCTCCTTTACCCACTGGTGGTTTGGGAAGAATTCCTTGCATTTCCCATTATGTGGCTCCAGGATTCGTTTGGGTGGCCGGGGAGGTGGGGGGACGTGCTCAGGTGGGGGCTCCAGGTCCTCATGGGAGAGCTCCTTCCATTGCTCCTGGAAAAGCAGCAAGAGAAAGTCCCGTCACTGTTCACGTCTGGCTGATTCGTCAGGAAAGCCACTCCCCTTCCAGTGAAAAGAGGCGACAGCCTGGGGAGTGGCTCTCTCTGCTTCTCGGGTCTCCAGACATATATTTGGAAGAGGAAATCTTCTGAAAATGAAGTCTGTTCTTCCCACCAACACTCTCTCTGTGAGCACTTCAAAGGCACAAACTGGAACACGGTGAACATTTCCACAACTTTCTAGCTATTGAAACACAGAGCATAGCTATTTCCTCTGACATAGGAGTGTTTGAACTTTTACAACTGACAGCCTCCTGCTCCAGAGACAAAAGTTTAAAATCAACACACGTGGAGGAAAATAGAAGCAATGCCGACCTGCACTGAAGCGTCTCCCATGATGAACTTGGCGCCTTCGATCACAGCCAGGTAGGAGAAGCGGAGCTGGTCTGCTGTCTGGATCAGGCCCATCCGGAACCTCCTCATCTCTAACAGAACTTTCTTGATATCAACAGAAGAAGGGTCTTTCCTTTTGTCCATCTGAAAGCCAGAGGGGAGACACACTTCAGCCAGCTCTACCTCTCATGGACGATGTGACTTTCTACGTTCTGGAGGCGTGCTCTGCTTTCTACTTGGGAAAAGTCACAGTGGGGCAGGCAGAATTCTAGAAAATCTGAGAAAAGGCAGCAAAATTGGGACAATTGAGCACAGGGGAAAGAATGAGAGCGAAGGGGACGCTCTGGATCTTCCTGGATTCCACCTTACAATGACGAGCATCCTGCCAAACAATGCGACTTTCATGGGAAGGAAGTTTTAAAAAGCGAAGACCAAAGACAGTTTGCTGCAGAGACAACAGAGAAGCTGTGGCCGGGCCAGAGCAGAGGCTCCCATGCATCCCTTCTCCTCCCCGACCCTTCAGGGCCTCCTTACCAGCAGGAGGCAGGTGTCGGCCAGGCAGAAGGTCCCCGACCTGCCGATGCCGGCGCTGCAGTGCACCACGATGGGGCCATGCTCCAGGCTGAGGGAGCCTGACTCACGGACTTTGAAGAGAAAGTTCAGGAACGAGGCTGGTGATTCGGGGACTCCAAAGTCAGGCCACGTGGTGTAGTGGAAATGTAAGATTTCTCGAGTTTCTTTAGACTGAAAGAGAAAAATCCTCATGATGATTCTAAGAGAATCCCCTGTACAGAAATGACTAGTCCCTAACTGGTGATTGCAGGAAGCACCACACGCCTCCCCGCCCCTCGATCTCCACGAGCAGCTTCAATGCTCAGGTCTTCTCCCAGGGGTCACACATCTAGTCAGCACATACCAAGCACCGAGCGCCCGGCTCTGAGCTCCTGCTGGGCCTGCTTGGCTTCGTTTCCTTTAGGATGGAACAGTCTCGCCCACCTCTTTTCTCCAGTGTCTCAATCACCTCTGCCCTCTTCATGGTTACAACTGATTTCTCTCTGCCCCACAAGTCAAAATGATGCACTGCCACCCACGACAATCTTATCACCAAGCACAAGGCGGCTTCATGTGACTGAGAATGGACCTGCGTGTGTGTACCAACTCTGGGGAACTGAGGGCTCTTACGTCTGGACATCTCAGACGATTGTTGTTTTAGGCAAAGTAACCAACTCAGTCTCCAATGACTGGTGGCTGCCACGTGTACCTCAATGCCCCGCTGAACAGATAGCCCACAAGGAGGAGGACGTTGACAAGAGCAGCAGCAACTGGCCCCACGCACTGAGAGCTGATCTTGTTCTAGCTCTGGGCATGGCAGCTCACCGAGCCTCACGCCAACCCTTCGAGGCATGTATGCCCGTCGTCCCCACTTTCCAGATTAGGACACTGAGGCTCGGAGACCAACCTTCCATTAAGTAGGGGAGCAGGAGTTTAAATCTAAGTTCGCTTGACTCCAGAGCCCATGTTCAGAGCCTACTGCAGGACCTTCTGAAAGGAGGACCTCGGCCCTTGTTCCCAAGTGTTTCTCCCCCTCGCCCGGTCTGATCCCGGGGAAGCAGAAAGAAAAATGGCCTCTCGTGCTGTTTCCAGCTCCGCTCCTTACTCTGAGCCTCTAAGAGCCCACTCCCAGGGGCACAGCAGTCCCCAGGAGCAATGATCAGAACGCAGTGCTCACCGGGAGAAGGGGAGCCCAGACCCTCGCAAGCTAAGAGCGCACGGTAAGTGGGAACCAGTCCCTGGGGAAGCAACGGCTGCAAGCTGTGAAGTGGGCACAGGAAGAAGCCCACACACGGGCACCTTGCCAGCTTTGAGGGTCTCCTGCTGGCACCGCCAAGGGCCAGCTCAGTGCCCAGGTCACCTGGAGAGCAGCTGATGGCGAAAGGCTTCACAGAGGCCTGAATAGCGACAGTGTCTCCCTTCGTTTGGCAAAGGTCCACAACGAGCTACTGTACCAGCCACCATACCTGTGATAAACACCAATGACCTAACACTAGCGAGGAATGCACACATTCAACCCGCACCAGCCCGCCACACCCTGGGACGTTCCTGCAGACCCGGGGGCCCCCGCATATGACGGGAGGATGACTTATGGGATCACACTAAGCGATTCCACCCTTTCCTCCTTAGGAAATGATCTCCTTATACTTTAATATCTTAAGAGAGAAATGCCTCTTCTATTTTCTAGAGCAAGAAAAGCACTTACAAATATATTTTAAAAAACTCAATAAGAAAACATGCCAAAAGCTCAGTCTTTCTTTTAGTCCTTAAAAAGGTGTGGGTTATCTCTTGTTTAGACTCCCCTCACACTTGCCTGCTTCTTTCTCCAGGAATTCACTCCAGACCTGTGCTTGAACAGAGACACACGTCTGAGAACAGACATTTTAGAGACCAAGTCTGCTAGCGCGAACACTTTCTCCTAACATCACAGCCTCTGAGCAGCTGCGCGGGCCCCGCCACGCGAACAGCATCAACATCTTCTGCTCGGCCCCAAGTCCGTCTCCCTCAACGAGCAGGAGAAACTTCCTTGCATTTACCAGAAGTCATTCTTAACATGCCACGCTTGCAATGCTAAAAAGCATTAAAAAAAGTCTACTCCATGATCCTCCAGGCACATTCCAACACACCGTCAAGGTTATTTCTGAAATGCCTCCATCGATCAGGCCCCAGGCCTCTGCGCGCGGCCGGCAGGGCTTGGCTCCAGCACTGTCCCGGAGAGCAGAGGGCACTCAGACCCCCTGCGCCATGGCATTCCTCAGACGCCACATGGTCTTAACCTCTTCTCTCCTGTGCAGTGATCTGTGCGAAGTCCGCCACCTTACTTCAACCACTGATTCAACAGCAGGAGTCACGATGACTACCGAGCAGTAAGTTGAAAACTAAGATGTGAACACAGCTCGGAAGAGACCTTACTCTTCACCAGAGCCCAGAGCCCCACCGCGGCCTTACCAGCGCCCCACCTTCGCTTGGACGGTTCACCTGCACTGCTCCTTGAGTGGCCCCAGCTCCTTCTCCCTGCTGGGGCCTGCCAACCCTTCCTGCGTGCGCACCCTGAGCTGGCTCCTGCTCCCACACTTCACATCCGTCACCCCTCCCATTTGACAGAGAGGAACCCGAGACTCCATGAGACGTGACATGCCTTGCCCAAAGTCTGACAGTTTGATACGGCAGCCAAGAATCAAGCTGGCTGGGTTCCAGAGTGTAGTGGCCGACGACCGTGTCTGAGGACGCCCTAGGAGCCGCCTTGAGCTCCCCTCCCCAGTTCCCAGTACTGGCATGGTTCCTCAGTGGTGGCTTGGGTGAATTATTCAGAATCTTCACAGGCAGGGCCTTCCGGGGTGCTGCTGCTTTGCACAGTGCCCTGTCACATTCCAAGACCACCCTTAATGACAGCCAGCAGCTGGTGTTACAAATCCTTCCCACAACAAATAAACCCAAGACCTCACCTACAAAACTTACCCTGGCTATGAAAGCAGCCAGCCTGGGCTGGAGGGCCCTTCTTCCCGGCCGCTGTCTAAAGAGCCTGGGGACAGTGAGGGAAGGCAGCACGCTCTGCTGGGATTTCCCCTGCAGGCCGCCCCTTGGTCCCTCCACAGATGCAAAGGCAGGAACAGGTAAGTTTTAGGTGGGAAACTCCCTTTTCCTTGAGCACTGGTGTTAAGTAGGTGTTGAAGTTGAGAGAGAGTTCCACGGAGACGGAGGACCTAAGCCCGCTGCGCCCCCAGCACCCTGGTCCCCTAGCAAGCGGCAGCTAAGCTCTGCTCAGCACAGTGCCCAAGCCACGTCTTGCTCAGGGCACACAAAACTCAAGGAACTGGCCTTAGGCAATACCACCCAAGGGAGTGGACCCATCCGCGAGTAACCATTGGAGGCACTTGGTGCAGGCCACACTCACCGTAAGGTTTTCCAATTCCAGTTGTCGCACTGTGTAATACGACTTAACGTCTTCAGAGACCAACGTTAACTTCAAATTTGTGTCTTCAAAGATCATTTCTTTTTCTTCTTTTTGTGGCCAGTACTGTGCACATTTCAACTAGGAGAGAAAAGAACAGGAATTATTGTGAGCAATGCACTGTTTTCCTATGACAGGAGGTTCAGAGTACCTTCCACGAACTTCATGATAACCTGAAGGCCTAGGGTTTCCTGACCTTGGACGTCACCAGCAGCATAACCTTCTGCCTGGAGGGGAGACGGGAGGGGCGCGTGAAGATCCAGCCAGAGTGAGTTGTGCAGGCGGGGCTCAGACTTGCAAGCCAGCTGCTCCCCGGTTCTGCAGGCAATGAGGCACCTCGAGGTCCGACCCTTTCCTTCTCATCGATGAGTGAAGCCAGACTGCACACAGGTCTAGTCTCTCACAACCTACTTTATGTTGCCATTTCAAAGATCACCAAGACCCTGCTGAGGGCTGGTAGCATGGTGTATACCCCCTACCCTGGGAAAATAACAGGCTAATGGAAAACAAGACTAGAGGAGAATGCAGGTGAAACCCTTCGGACGGGTGAAGGGCTGGGGTCGAATGCAGACTACCATTCAGAGAAGGCCTGGGGAGGGCTCCGCCACAGCTCGGGACCACCCATGGTCCCACCTGCCCATTCATTCTGGTTGGTTCACTTCAGAAAAATACTTCCAAAGTTCTACTTTAATAATTTCAGAAACTACTTGATGGTCTTGATTTAAATGTAACTAGCTTTTTCTTTAAAGCAGGCAAACTCCCAAAGATTTGGTTTAGTTTAGAGTTTAAGAAAGAAAATTTGACTCAAGTCTGTGGCATACTTTGCTTGAGCCAAGTGTCTGCAGCAGCTACCCAGGCATCTCTGCTTGCTCTGACTGCTCTGGACGAAGGCAACAGGCAGATGGGGGCTGGCCGCCAGGTCGCTGAGCCAGAAGGACGGACGACACGCCCTGACAGAGGAGACCTCAAAGACGTCAGACTTCCAGCAAACGAACTATCAGCGTGTGAAAAGCTCTTTGGTAAATGGTACAAATTCAAGACAGTCAGAATTCAACATGCACTCATCCACTGCATTAGCTCCTCTGGGGCAAAGCACGATGGTGCCTGAAATGCCACAGTAGGTGGAGGCAGCTCCTCCAGGACCGGCCTGTGCCAGGATAGACTGCTCACGCCCAGCAGGGACAAGGCGGCTGGGGGAACGCTATGGATGTGCCATGGGAATTCAGAGGAAGTAAAGGTTTCGAAAAGGCCGGCTGAGGTTACAGGGCAAGAGAGATCAGGGAAGGCTCTAAGGAAGAAGTGGCCTCTGACAGAGGCGTGTTTTAAAGGATAACCAGGATTTCTCAGCCAGTGCCTGCAAAGCAGCCAGTCTCAGAGGAGCAGCGGAGGAGCCAGTGGAGGCCCAGACCACAGCCGCCTGGCAGCAGGCCAGGAACTGGCAGCATCATCTGGGACACAGGAACCAGGAGGCTCTCAAGGCGGCGGAGATGGAACCACCAATGCCCATCAGTCCTGCTCTACTGAAGCTGCCCGTGGCCCAGAAACAACACAAAAGCAAAAGGAGAGAAACAAATCAAGCAACACCAGAGTGTGACGCCAACACAGCACCATACTCACGGTCCCCAAACAGAAGGCAAGAGGGCTTTCTAAAGACCCTGGCCACAGGCCTGTCTGAAAGTGTTGGCCAGCTCCATTCGTCACTTCCCTACGTTGATGATGAGCTGCAGAGATGAAGCCCTGCTGTGGGGCCCATCTGTCGGCACTGAGGCAATTCTGCCACTCGGGACACGGAAGAACAAATGACACGGCAAGATCCCATGCTTAGCCACAGTGGGTGGGGCAGCTGAGGGCAAGGCTTCTGAAGACCCTTAAAGCATGCATTTATTTCTACACTTCAAATAATTACACCTGTGTAATGCCTTAAGACCCCAGAAATAAAGAGACTGCCCCGGCAGGCACCGGGGTGGGCACCCAATGCAGCAAGCAGAGGGAGATTGAAGCGAAGCAGGGGCAAAGGCCAGCGGCTGCCGAAGCAGAGGCCATGTGTTCCCGTCTCCCAGGCAGTGGGCCGAGTCTTCAACGCCACCTCCAGCAGGCAGGCACTCACTTTCAAAACCAAATAAAAAGCCTAATAACCTCCGTAATCCGGGTAAGACCACGACTTTGGAACTCTGCAACTGAGGAATTCTGGCACACACTAGGTGTCAATCAACTGATATTTATTTTTAAGAACTCTTAGGCATCTACAGTAACGTGCCCCGCTCTGCTCTCTATCATTTCCTGTAGAAATTTTTGTTTTAAACACAGAATATAAAACAAAAAAATAAGCCCAAGATCGCTCTTCTTGCTAGCCTATTACAGTGGCACATCCCGACCTGAAAAGGAGACTGACTTTACTAGAAAGCAGGTCTTCACGAGGATTCAAACAGAGGCACGTCTTGGGTTGGCACCAAACAGCAATGTGGCAATGCCAACACGTTGGTGTCTGTCACAGCTGCCGTTACCACCATGAAGGCGGACGTGTGAGAGAGAGCGTGTCCTGGGGCCTTCTGAAACAAACAGCCAGGCAATCTGAAAAAACATCTATGCAAGTCATCTGGGGTGACTCTGTGACGGATGACTCAGTTTTCTGAAAGAACGACGAACAGAGAGAACTAGGCAGAGCAGGAGAGAGCTGGACCAGGCTTGAGTACCAGTGACAGAAGCCCAGAGCCTTGGGCACCAAAGCACCTGAAACCAAACGGCATCTTTACTCGGGGCTCTAGGAGAGACATGGTGATGCTTCTGTAAGGACAAGTTACGCTCGTCTAGTTTCTTTCCCCTGCCTCAACAACAACCCCAACCCTTATACACGTACGCACTCCACAATCACAGTCTCAAGGCAATTTTAAAACCAAACCAACGAGAACTTTAGCCGCTTGGATGACCCCAATCTAACCACACAATCACTGTCTGCACAACTGTTTTCCAGGAAGCATGGGGTCCCAAAAGGGTAAGAGGCAGGTTTGCCAAAAATAAGAGCGGGACATCCTACACTATTTGGTGAAGGATGGAAACCAGAAAACAAGTATGCACTAAATGCAAACACTCTGCAGGCTGCTTTTCCCCACGGGCCGCAGCCAGCCTGTAATCAGATTAGCTGAGCACACAGGATGCTGCAGTTTCTGCTGGATTTTCCCAGTCAGCCCTCACGGCAGTGCTGATGCCGACGCCGAATCGAAAATGTTGATCCCAAGGCAACTGCAAGAATCTCGTAGCATATGTTGCTTTTCATGCCAATTGGCACGCCCAGATTACCGAGGAGAAAGAGTAGTTACAAAGGAAAACAGGGGCCACTGTCACATTACTGCAGTGAACTATGATAAAACCAACCAATCATGTTTTCCTCACGGCCAACACGGCAACCCAAGGGAAAAGGTCGTCACCATGGATCTGTGGTCCATTTACGGTCAGCCTGGGATGGGAGACACTGAGGAAGGCTGGTGAGGAACAGGAGCTACAGCGCCAGGACACTGCTCTCTGCTGGACTATGACAACAGTAGCTATAGCAAGCCACGTGCAAATAGCAAAGAGGCTTTACCTGAGCTTTTAGCAACACACAAATAAATAAAAAGCAAATGCTACCATCCATGATTTTTGAATAAGTCAGCCTTGCTTTAAAACTCTCAACCCTCCATACCATCTAGAACAGTAGTTCTCAACCGGGGGCAGGTATGGCTCTGAGGGATGCAGGACAATGTCTGCAGACACTTCTGGTTGCCACAAATGGGGGTGGAGGTGCCCAGGCGTCTCGTGGGCGGAGGCCAGGGATGCTGATGCGCATCCTGCAAGGCCCAGGCCAGCCCCTGGGAGCGGGCCAGCCCCAGCGTCAGCGGAGCGGAGGCCCAGAGCCTGAGCAGCTGGTGAGCTGACGCCTGCATGGCCGCCACATCTCCCTTCCCCATGAGGGAGAGGATGCGTGCTGGGGACCTAACGCTTTGTCTCTTTATTCAAAATTGCTGACAGGAGTGGTGTTGGGGGGTTCGCTTCACATCTGCAACTTCGCATTTTACTAAGGAAGCCACTGAAGCAGAAAAAATAAAAACCACTTTCACTGAACAAATTTTTTTCTAAGACAAGAAACATTATTTCATCAATTGACCAACCAGGCAAGCTCTTTATCTATTATTATTGAGCAAATAAATACTTCCCTTTAAGAAAAGGGGTCCCAGGCAAAACCCCGGGTTTTGAGCCAGTGCTGCTATGAGAGGACCACTCGCCCTCTGGGGCGGCGGGGGCAGCTCTGAGCGTTCGCATCCCCTGCTGAGGCTTCCTTCCATGTGTTCCTCCTCCGCACTTGCCTTTTTACTCTCTAGGGCCACGACTGGGCTTCCTTTGGAGGCGTGGGTTCCGTGGAGCCCTCACATTCTACGGGGAAGGCACGTGTGCGTCCCGAAGTGGCCAGGACAGCCGTGAGAACGGTGCCCCGTGGGGCCCAGGAGCACAGGGCCAGCACACCCCGTTCTCCGCTCCTGTCGGTCTCCACAGTCCTCAGCTCGCCTTCTTCTGGGGCCTCCACTTCTGAGGCTGGAGAGCCTGGAAGTGCTGGCGGTGCTGGCGGCGGAGGAAGGACTCGGGCAGCAGGGACGTGGCGTCTATTCGCCATGCTGACGGTCACACTTGCACCCTGCACACGGACACAGTCTTACACGGGAGACAGGCCTTTAACAGGCAAGCCCGCAGAGGGAGACATGTGGGAAGGGAGAGCACCAGCCCTAGACGGGCCAAGGGAAGCAATCGAGGACACCCAGCAGAGGAGTGAGGTGGGCACTGGGATTCAGAGCCTCAGCCAAGAGAATATGGCAAGAAACTGAAAGAAAAGTTTGTTCTGACTGGAGTTTGCACTTGGAGGTGTGAGAGTGGGGTCTGGGTTAAGCAGGGCCCAACCAGGCTGTGCCCTGCAGCCACGTTACGTACATCCTGGAGGGCAGCGGGGAGCCCCAGCAGGGTTTTCAGCTGGCAAGAGGTGTGAGACTGGGCCAGACGCACGTGGGGTGGTGGCCTGAACAAAGGTACGCCTGTGGTCCACCCCATCCCCAGGTATGCTTTAAGAGTTACAAAGAACTTGGAAGGACGGATGTCACAAATCCTGCAGTAAACGCACAAGCGGACAACGTCCACATTGAAGAGGTGTGACCAGGAGCCAAGAACCCAGGGTTTTACAGAAGCGAACCCAGAGTCCAGCCGCTCCCACGGCTCAGTCGATGGGAGGCACTTACACCAGCCAGAAAAGCAGGCAGGAGGCAAATATGGCAGAAACTTCTTTTCAGAATAAAACTGTGCGTGTACAGCTCTGTAACACAATGGCAGCAGAACAGGGACCGCAGGTGTGAGGAGGACACATCACTCTCTGCAGAGGGACTCCTTCTGGGGGGCGACGGGTCAAGGGCAACTTTACTTTTTTCTCTCTTTTTTCTTACTTATCTGGCTTGTTTACAATAAACATGCATTTATATATGGCCTCTTTAAATTTTTCTTATGAAAAAGACTATGTAAAAGAAATATAAAAGTTGGGGCTGGCCCAGCAGTGTAGCGGTTAAGTTCACGTCTGCTCTGGCGGCCTGGGGTTCACAGGTTCGGATTCCAGGCACAGACCCAGCACCGCTTGTCAAGCCATGCTGTGGCAGCATCCCACACAAAACACAGGAAGACTGGCACAGATGTTAGCTCAGCAACAATCTTCCTCAAGCAAAAGGAGGAAGATTGGCAACAGATGTTAACTCAGGGCTAATCTTCCTCACCAAAAAAAAAGAAAGAAAGAAATATAAAAACAATTCAAAGAAATAAACTCAGGCAAAAGCATTAAACCTTATGGACTGACGTACAAACAGTGACAGAAATAGTAGATAAACCCATGACTCACCGAGCCTTTCTCCATCACTCTGTTGAGCATGACGACACCTCTGCTCTTCTGCTCCCACACCATCTCCCAAAAGTGACCGCACGTATTAGGCAAAGGGCCCTGCAAACACACAATCCACAAAGTACATGCCCCTTTTCACAACAATGTACTCAGTGTGAGCTCACCATCAGAGGCGAGGGAATGACAGTGCCTTTAGGCAGAGTGGGGGCTGAGGATGGGACAGGGACCCACCTTTCCCTGCCTAGTGGTGAGTAACCACAATTCTATTTTCTAACACACAGTGAAAGGTCATTTCCACTTCTCAGGGCTGGTTTGGGGCTGACGGACAGAGGAGAGAACACACTGATTCTGCTTTCTGGTTTGGGCTCGCCGGCTGAGGGGCTCCACTGAGATCCACCCCAAAGGGTGCGGAGAATACTGGACAAAACTACCAGGGGCCGGCGAGAGGCAGGATGGGGAAATGATCAACAGCGACACTTCTGGCATGCAAGTCCCAGCTCCAATCACTTATCATCTGTGTGACCTTGGACAAGTCACTTCACCTCTCCATGCCTCACTTTCTCCACCCATCTCCCTTGACTAATCATAGCCCCTACTCAGAGGGTTTTGAAAATTAACTATGTTCATACATATAAAGGCCTTACCACAGTACCTGGAACACAGTAAACACCGAATACAATGTTAGCTATTATTATTACTATTAATAATGGCGACCTTGACCATAGACAGCCTTCATCCTTGGACCATGGGACATCAGAGATGTGGACACACAAATGGTCAGTCAGGCTGCCCAAGGAGTATGGTATTGCCAGGGCATGGCGGGGCACATGCCGAGCAGCTGGTCCTCTCACTCCAGCCCACCTGGCGATGGGCAGAGATGTTCAGTGGATACAAGGGGTATGGATGCCTTGAGCTTCTCTCACCTTTCAGTGCTGCCTGGAAGGGACATCATCTATCACCCACACATCAGAGCGTGTCCCCTCCCCCAGCCAGCACCACTTCTAGAATGGTTTCCATTCTCACCTCGTTTCCTCTCAGTTCTCCTTATTGTGGACAGCGTTTCCCTCTGAGCCTCCCCACACTTCCCTCGACCGCAGAGCCCTCAGCGCCTCCCCACTTTCTTCCCTGAACTCATCTTGGACTCGCTGCCTGAGCCAACAAGTCCACACTCTACACATGTGTGCAGCAGGGACCCAGACAACAGGGGTTACGTGTGCATCCCTTTCCCCCCAGTTAACAGAAAAATGGCTCCTGGAAGGCAGGAATCACATGGGCCCTGTCACCGGCCCTCCCACAGCTGTGACTCTCAGCAGTTACTGGACTGTCACCTGCCCTACTCCCCAACATCACCCCAGTTTAGAACGGGCCTGAGGAATTAAAAATCACATAAGATCTAAAAGGACACACACAGACTTAGCCAACACTTCACGGGGTAGGAGAAGGCAGCACCTCTGACATTACCCTCTATGCTGCTACACCTCTGGCTTCAAAGAGTGAGACTACAGACTTACATCATGAACACAATGAAAATAAAAAATAGGCAGGGCTTTCTTGCTTTTGTGTCTTGGAAAATGTTTCAGTCATACTGTCCAGGGCTACAACTTGGGGGTCAGGCTGCTTTGACTCCTTTCGTAAATCCTAGGGTAAAGGGAGGCCACGAGAGCAGCCAGATCCACGTGTGGAACCACCTGAGAAGACAGACAGAACTTCCGACGTGCCAAGTCAGTCCCAGGGCAGGGGTCAGGGGCAGTGGTGTAAAGGGCTCCATGACTTTCCTACGGCTCCCCTGGACTTCACACACCTTGCTTCTCTCTGCTTCGGGTTTCCTGACCCCACACCAAAGTTGAGTGGCTGAAATCAGGAAGTAAGACTTGACTCTTCCGAAAAGAGAAGTTCTCAAGAAGCCACTTTTGCCTCAACCTCTTCCCAGCAGCTTGCCTCCACCAGGGATCTTCATCCTTATTCCACCCAAGGCCACCCGGAAGTGCTGGGAAGACCGTGGGCTGAGGGCCTGGTAAAGGCCTGCCCCTTATTCGTATACCAAGAGTTGACTCAATGGCCCCCAGGACTGAACACAGCATGGCTGACGTCCTATACCTTGCCTGGGAGCCTCCTGGGCCGACTGTGGTCATGGAGGGAGAGGAGCTGGGGACAGGACAGAAAGGGGCGGAGAAGAAGGGCCACGTGGACATGCCCTGATCTAGACCCCTGCCCCAGAGCAGCCTTTGCTCACAGTGCTTTCTGGCTTCATCATCACTTTCATCTCCAAATATTAAGCACAATGATAATGTTCAAATCACCCTATAACCCAAACTGATGTGGAATAAGAAAACAAAAATTATGATTTAAAAAAGAGAGAAATTTAGACTCTTCAGAACAACTTACAGGTAACAGATTAAGACGTGAGAAAATTAATTAAAAAGAAACTCGTTTATCCCCATTCTCAGATACTCATGGTCTTTGGGTCATATACCAGTAAGTATTTCATAAGAAGGTCAATTATTATACCACTTTTACGATTTTTTCCCCACAAAGATGCCAAAAGCCAATGGGACTTTTAAAGGATGTTGCATGTTTGTTCTTGTAATCTAATGATGCTTTTTTTCTGGGCCAAAGAATGAGGACCATGCCCAGGAATTCTGAATGGCACCTGGGCAACTGTTCCTGACCTCCCACTCACCCTTTCAGGCATCCGTGCGAGGCACTCGACGCTCTGTGGCGAATCCTTACAGAGCAGATACAGGCACAGGCCTTCTCTAGCCATGGGTCTGCTGCCTCCATCCATAGACCACAGGCAATTCTGGAACCTTAATGCTGTTTTCTGTAAGCCCAGTAATGTCATACTTCCCAGAAAAGACTAGTGTCATAACCAAAGAGAGTCTCTGAAGAAGATTTTTTCCTTCCTTGTTGCTTTCCTGCGTTGTCTGAACCTGACCTTCGCAAGGGTGTGGCGGGTTTTGTTTGCAGCATGGATAACAGCGCTCACAGGGTGACATCAAGCAAGGCAAAAAGGAGTAAAAACCTCGGGCAATCCGTTTACCTGAGTAAGAATGTAACTCCTCTGGGCTTCTTCCATTTTTATCAAACTAGCATTGATGTAGTCGTTATCTTCTTGATGTAGTTTAATCCGACTATGGTCAACTGAAAGGCAAAGCAGACCTCAGAGGTTAATAATCCTGGGGGACCTGGGGGTCTACACAGGCAGTGCACCCCACAGGGAAAGCAAAGAAGGTGAGTCAGTGGCATTAAAGGTGTTCACACTCCCTGAGGCTGTGCTGTTTTAACCGAGATTAGTCATCAACATGGGGATCACTAGGATTTTCAGAAAGGTTTTTGAAGTGTTTGAAACTTAACAACAAATAGCAACAGAGATAAAATATACTAAAACATGGATTATGTCCTATTTGGGAAATCTGTTCTTAGGTCATATCTTCCTATGATACTTACTACCGTCCCCCCAACTTGGTAGGCTGGGGGAGAGGGTGTCAAAGGATCTGTTCTCTAATGCCTAACACAGACTTCTAATAGGGTAAAAAATATAGTGGCTTTAATCTTTAAAAGGAAACAAAATCCACCAAAAATTCTACCTAGTCCCCAGAGCTCCAGTTGGTCCAATGAGCTATGGTAGGCAGAATTTGTAATCACAACTCAGCCTAACCTATGTCTAACAGTGGAAAGATTAAGTGACCCAAGTATACAGCAGTGTGCGAAGTCCTACTCTGAATTCCTTTATACAAGGTTTTTTAAAAGTTCAAGTATAATATACTTTACTGATTCTAAATCTTTCAAATTCAGAACCTGTCATGATCAAAGATATTTAGAAGAGAGTTTAACTAGACAAAATAAACTCTGAATCTAAAATCTAAAGTATATTAAATGTAGCTTTCAGAATAGTTTTTAAAAATAAACTCTCATTTGGAAAGTCTGCTCCAGGTTACCGAAAAAGCACAGCCCACCCCACCCTTTTTTTTTTTTTTACTAAGACTGTGTCACAAAAGCAATGGTTCCCTGGGGGCCACCTTCCTTGTCCTAACAAGAGCAGGTGGGTATTCCTATTTCTGGTACACCACAAGGGATGATGAACTCAGGTGACCACCATAAACAGTACCCTCTCCCCCAGCCCAGTGGGAAGGAGAAGTTCATGGGGATGAGTAGTTTTGGGTTTTCTGTTCTAAAAGATTCCAAAGAGATGTTTTTGAAAATTAGCTACCAGTTGGAATAATGTTTCTCATCAGAGATGGTTAATACAAATTGAAACACGTGGATAATATTTAAGTGGGTCATGGAGATTAGGGATCTCAAAAAGATCATGTGACCGGCGTGGGTGGGTTTCGCGAGTGGGTTCAAACAGCACTGAGGGGCCTGGGCGAACAGCTCACCCTCCAAGTGCTGGGAGACAGTGAGCTCACCTTCCACCTGGAGCCATTCTCCCATTTCCCTCATAAGCTTAAAAGCAAATGACTTTCTATTGGAGAGTAGAGGTAGGGGAGAAAAAGACAAATATGAGGAGAGAGATTGGGGGTGAAAAAGTTTGGGAACTGTTTCTCTGGAAATAACTGCTGTTTTATCTCTGGTTCATGAACTGGTTCATGAAATCATTTAGATGAGCACTGATCAAAATGTAGCAAAGGCATATTAAAGACAACATTACTGCCTAATTCAGAGTAAGTACAGCAGAGCTTGAGGCCTGGGGTACCCCTGGCACCATGTGAAAGACACAGACAGCAAGCCTTCCTGCCACCTCAGAGCAGCTGGCCAGGGCTCACAGCACAATCACCTGGGGAGAGGTTTTTTTTTTAAAATAAAACCTATGAGGTGCCACAGCCCAGCCACGCTAACTCGAGTGTGCGAGCTACCCGGCGGCTGCGGCACTATCGGGTGTCGCTCGATGACCTCGAATTGCACTTCAGACGTGCCTGGCGTGTACCTTCGGTTAACAGCCATCTCAACCACGGCCAACATTTAGGAGCCAGACACTGGGCCGAGTGGCTGAAGTTATTTTATTTCATCTTCATACAGTCCTGAGATTGGTGTGACTCCTGTTTTACTGAAGATCAGAGAAGAGAACAAACTGCCCAAAGTCCCACAGTGCTAAGCAGCAGGCTGAGATGTGACCCTGGCAGGGAACTGCGGCAGGAGGCAGACGCAGACTGCCTGGCCCCAGTCTGGGTCCATCCTTATTCCCGCCCAGGAACCCGGGCACTGTACAACTCAGGGTGGGACACACAGCTGACTCGGCTGCAGCCGCGGGTGTGGCATGCTTCAGCCGGCATGCAGGCAGCACCTGTCTGAGGAATAACCCACTGAATCTTCTGTGTCCCCAGCAGATAACACCGCCATGGGTGATGTCGGCACCTACAACCCCTCAGTGAGTGACAACGTCTAAAAACCCTGGAGGTGAGTCAAAAAGTCCTCTGTGGCTTAGAAGAGACAGCCCAAGTTCATGTCCTTTACTCAGCTCCAGTTTTTCTTGCTTTATACAAATTCTGACAGGCACAATGAGAGCTAATGGCAGGAAAGCGCTAGAAAAGTGATGATGGCGGTGGCGAGTAGGGTGGGGTGGGGAGGACTCAATAGGCACAGCTGACTTGCATCTTCAGTAGAGGGGTGAATGGCTCCCACCCCTCATGCCAGTGCAGGGCATCATTACGTTTCAACACACTGCTCTGGGTCTAACAGCACTGTTGCTGAATCATCCAGAAAAGCTTCTATTATGCTCGCTGTACTCTGCTTCAGCTGGTAGGAAAATGATTCATCACGAAAATACTCAAAGTTAAAAGTGCTTTGAACTTAGCTGAATTTTCCAGAAACTGAAACCTTACCCTTCAACAATGGTGGAAACATAACAATTTCTCTAAGTCTCTAATGCGTTTATTATAGGAAACAATCAAGTCATAAACCTCTACTGCTATCGATGTATTACCAGCCCCAGGGCTCCTGACCGGGAGGCCCTGCAGCAAGAGGAACCGACGCAATGGAAGCAGCGAGACCAGTAATGGCGATGTGAATACTTACAGGGACTGACATCTCTGTACCTGTTTCGGTTTTTATTCTTAGGAAGCTTGGCCACTCTACATGGGAAGTCACTGGCTTCATGTCGGATATCCTACAAAACAAGGATAAAGAGTTCTTTGGAAATCTCTGGCAGCAGTAATTCATCCAGACATTTAACCGAGCGTGGCCCATGTGCCAGGCACCGAGGAAGACCCAGTGCAGAAAGGGACATCAAAGGGAGCCGGGCAGTGTTGGAAAAGCAGGCTGATAACTCCGAGGCATGTGCAAGGTCATGGGAGGAAACCAGAAGAGGAACAACCAGAGGCCTGGGGTGGGAGGAAGTGGCGTGGGGCTGGGAGCTGGAAAGACGGGAAGAGGGCAGGGAGACAGCAAGGGAGGGGGCGCTTCAGTCGGGAACAGCCAGCACAGCGAAGGCCCGGGGGCTGGAGCTCACTCCTTTTGCAGGAACAGTGAGTGGGCTGGCGGGGGCAGTGCCAGCCGGCGGGAGCACAAAGGCAGGCAGGCCAGATCTCGGAGAGCCTTGAATGTCGCGCCTGGGAGTTCCATCTGCAGCCTTTGTAAAGCTACAGTGATTAGGAGCAGATAAAATGCACGTTTATGCCAACAAACTATCCAACTGCTTTCCTAGGAGACGGTAAACAAATCCCATTACACCAAACTGTCAGAGAGAGGGGGCGCCTGGACCACAGGAGACGCGCAGCACGCCTCATGCTGGACTGGGGATACTTAGGGCATTCTGCTCTCCTAAAACATCACCATGATCACAGTAAAAATCTGTCCTGTTTAATTTGCATTTTATTATTATTCAAAGATAAACCTGCACAACAAGGTGACTATACTTAATGCCACTAAACTGTACACCTAAAAACGGTTACAATGGTAATTTTACGTAATGTATATTTTACAACATTTACAAAAAAAAGAAAGGCAAACCCATGAGGGGAAAACAGGAGAGAAGACAACAGCACCAGAATTTTGGAAGCTGGAAATCAGACTGATTAGTAGTTGGCAGGTCTGAGAAAGCTCAATCACAAGCCGGCAGTGGAGAATGCAGAGAACCAGCCTGGGTTCCACCGCAGAATCCCCTCCGAGGCTCAGAAGAGCTGCCCTCGGGAAGGAGAGGTGGCATTCAGGGCAGGGGATGGGGTGGAGCTGTCTGAGAAGAGCTGGGTCCCCCCCCCCACCTCCCCCTACCACCCCTCTGTGCTGCTGGGTGACTGCTGCCTTGCGCCTCTCCAGAAATCTAGAGATTTATTTTCTGAAAAAAGTAGATCAGGAGGCAGCACCTTCCACCTGCTCCGAGCTCTCCAGCTGCCTTGTAAGCCCCTGCGCTTTATCGTGCACGTGCAATCACTGAGCGCAAGATGCAGGAGGAAAGCCTTTAATATAATAGCGATTTACGAGAAAAATAAAACAGGAAAAACGCCTCTTGCAGGAAATAAACTGCAAAGAAAAGAAAGCTTAAAAAACATATATTACTAATATACTCAGAAAGATAAGAAAAGATATTGTATCCATGAATTAAGAACAGGATGTAACAAAAATGTCATTTGGAACTTGAAAACAAGACAGCAGAATTGATAAGCTTAATTAAGAGTCAGGAGATAAAGGTACTGGGAATTCTCCCAGAAATTAAAGCCAACCCCCCCCCCAACAAAAACACACACAATAATAGAAAATTAGGGAAAACAAAATACAAGGACAGAAAACATCAAAAAACAATTCAAGGAACTCTTCCAGACCCATCAAGTGCTCATCATGATGATAACAACAGACCCACACTGAAGCACACTAATGTGCAACTCCAGAACCCCTCAAAGAGAATACCCTACAGGTTTCCAGGAAAAAGAAAGAGTTCACTTTCAAAGGATAAGGTGATCAGAACGGCTTCAGACTTTGCCAGATTGAGTGAAAGCAGATGGCAATGGAGCGATGCTTTCAAAATTGTGAAGAAAAATGACTTCCAACCTGGAATTCTACATCCAGCCCAATAATCATCAAGTGAGAGGGTACAAGGAAAACACTTCCAGATGTGCAAGGTCTCAAAACCTCTCCCTCCCATGCTCCTTTTCTCGGCAATCCACGGCAGCATGTCTTCCACCTGAGGGAAGAAATAAACCAAGAAAGAGAAAGCTATAAAATAAACAAGAGAAAAAAAATCTGATACGAGGGCAAAGGCAAAGGAAATTTCCACAAGAACTGTGAAGGGAGGAGCTCCCAGGATGACAACTATGTGCGGACCCAGGAGGCAAGCAGGCCAGACCAGAGCAGTATGACTTGACAGAGAGATGCGTCCACCATACCACGCGTGACGTAGCGAAACTACCAGAGAGGAATGAGGAGAAGACCTGAAACACAGGAAATCAGGAACCCAACGGAGAAGCAAAGCAAAGGCAGTCTAAAGACGCCAGCTGCGTGAGGCAGGCCTCTGGACTGCAACCCAGACAGGAGCATGGCCGTCTCCAGGACAGACGTCTCTGAGCAAACAATGAACTGAGCCACCACCCGAAACTGCTCTGTCCAATGCAGCAGCCATGAGCCACGCGTGGCTATCGAGAGCACTTGAGATGTGGCTGGTCTGAAAAGAGATGCTGTGCAAGTGCAAAAATACACATTGAGGGCCGGCCCGGTGGCACAGTGGTTAAATTCACACGTTCCACTTCTCGGCAGCCCAGGGTTCGCCGGTTCAGATCCCGGGTGCGGACATGGCACCACTTGGCAAGCCATGCTGTGGTAGGCGTCCCACGTATACAGTAGAGGAAGATGGGCATGGATGTTAGCTCAGGGCCAGGCTTCCTCAGCAAAAAGAGGATTGGCAGTAGTTAGCTCAGGGCTAATCTTCCTCAAAAAAAAAAAAAAAAAAAATACACATCGGATTTTGATGACAGTACTAAAAAAGGAAAGTAAAATATCTCAAATATTTTAAATATTATTTGTTGAGATAACATTGTTAACAGATTAGGTTAAGTAAACTATCTTATCAGTTTCATCTGCTTCTTTTTATCTTTGTACTGTGGCTACTAGAAGAGGTGAAATTATACATGTGGGTTGCTTTGTATTTCTATTGGACAGTGCCGACTGACCTTGTGGAAAACTGTTCTGAGAGGCCACAAGAAGATACGGGAAGAATTACCAAGAGGTATAAAGAAAACTACGCAAACGAAAACAAGGGCAATTATTAGTACAGGAGAATTTTTAAAAAGGAAACACTACAGTACAACACCATCGGTGACTATGTGCATAGGCAAATAACGTAAATAAGGAACACTGTTTCAACCACGAAGTGTAACATATTGGGAGGACAGGAAGGGGAGGAAGAGCAGACGGCTGCCCTGGGAAAGAGTAAACGAGCGCATCAGAAGAGCAACGTCTTCCTCAGAAGGGTGGAGACAAGCACAAGCGCACTCGGCAGCTCACCCTGGACTTGATTCTAACCCTACTGTGGCACTACTGAACTTCTGAAACCACACCCACGTCCAACTCGAATTAAAACAAAAGAGAATCGCCCAGTCTGCTATTCCACCTATTTAAAACTGCAAAACGGCAGGGAGGCGTTCCCGACTCACACTAGAGAAGAGCTCACAATTTAAAAGCATGTCGATGGATTACAAACCTACCCAAGATTAAACAAAATCCAGTAGTAACGCACCTGTCACATCATTTATGGACCAGATTAAGCTTTTGGGTAAATGCGGCGGAGCCAGAAAAATAACTTGAAGGAATAAAAGTCCAAGTCTTAAATGCGTTGTTCTCCTTATTCTTTGGCAGCATTCAGCACTAGCGGGGAGGTCTGCCTCGTGAGGTGAAACACGCTGGTGGGACTGGGTAAAGATGGAAGAAACAACTGACATGGAAGAAATAACTGATATGGATAAACCACCGAACTAACAAATATTCACTCTGAGGAAATAAGGGCCAAAATATCAATAACAGTGTGCAACTGATTGTATTCAGCCAAAGGAGTATTAATATGTACTTTTTTGGTGCCGAAAACAAAAAAGAGAGAGAGAGAAAGTCAAACTAGGCAATGTCATTTAATAAAGATATTGGGAAAGTAAGACATATTCACACAATACTATTTTAAAATTAAGGTATACCCATAGAGTAAAATGCACAGATCTTAAGTGTGTGGTTCAGTAAGTTTTTCTAACCAACTGTGAGGTATAATTTACAAATAATAAAATATACTCATTTAAGAGTTTCTCTACTTTAGAATGGCATATGGGAAATATACGCATGTTCTGAATACAAGCATTTGTATTTCATTTAGGAAAATAAAATACCAGGATTATAGTCTTAAAATTGAGGAGTGATAAAATACCATTAAAATTAAAGGCAAATAAATAATAGTGGTTTAGAAGAAAGTAAATAGACCACTATAGCATAAAACTTTACAGAATAACAGCAATACAAGATTTCTATATTATAAAACTGTGTCAAAGGTGAGCTAATTTTCCAAGAGCTGTAGAAAAAGCGAATTACTGACGAACGAACAAGCTTAAGGAGACTTGCACCACAAGCATAAAACATCCCTAGAAGATCTTTTATTATGCTGATCAAGATTAAATAACCCAGAGAGTATGTAAAATTTCCACACTGAGAAAATAAAATAACGGCCTTAAAGCTGCCAATGAGAAGACGAATGCTGGGTAAATTTAGGACTCAAGCCAAAAAGGAAGTAATGAACGTGCCATCAAACAGGTTCCCAGAAGCATTCCCTAAACGAAAACCCCGACCATTTCAAGAATCATTCCAAATGTGCCTCAGCAGTTCAGAGATGGGATCGTACTAAGTCGGAAATTTTACTAGTGGGAAAGTAAATATGCCAACAGTGAACAGATTCTTTCCCTCCCTCCTCCTTCCGCTAGCCAGCTCTTTACTGGCTTTTTAAGAGCCTGCTTCCTGTTCTTAGTGTAGATTTCAGAAATGTGATAGAATAAAACATCATATTTAAGAGATGTCAAACATTCATGCTCTTCTAGAGAAGAAATCTGATAATATGCTACTGAAACGGGCTCAAGTTTGGTCAAAGCTTACAGGCAAATACTGTGTCATTTTACATAGGTATCTGGCACCCAAAATGATCTGAAT